CTAGACTAGTGTTTAACTGAATAACCAGAGGACAGGAATCCTGGAGGAACATCTTTAGAATCCTGCTCACCACAACTCCTGTATGGGGAAAAGTTAGTTTCGTCTTAGAAAAGAACAAAGACCAGTGGGATAGAGCAAAGTAAGAAATAAGGGAGTAAAGGGAGATGATGTTTGGCCCTAAGAAGGAATTTGGATTTTATTTTCATTTCAATGGGAATCTATTGGAAGATCTTTACATGAACTAATTTATACTTTAAAATTGATCACCATGGTGAGTGGGGAAAGTTTCTTTAGCAAGTGTGTCTCTTACACCACTCAGCAGGGCCTTGCATGGAAACGATGCATCAACCATGGTGTAGTATGATCTCCTCTGTGACTGCAGTGTGTGCATGTGGTGCAAGTGCATGTGTATGTTAGTGAGAGGGAACAGAGATAGGACCTCCCTTTAGGGACTGTAGGAAGGGAGGGTGACCCCTTAAAAACTGCGGAAGTAGGTAACAAGTTACAAAGAGAGATGGAGTGTGTACGTTAGGAGCTTCCACTGCTTCTTCAAACACTTATGCTTTTGCCTAATGTGGCAACCTGAAGTTACCTAGCACACTGTCCCACTTCTCAGGCCACAGAGCAGACAAAACGCAAGGCCACTGTAAACCACTCCCTGATTTAGGGAACTCTACTTCCCAGCTGCTCCACGTGAACACACTGGGCCATGAGAGCTGCATGACTAGTCTCTGCAATCCTTGCAGCATCCAGTCCACTGACCGCAGCCAGCTTTGCTGCCTGAGCTAGGGTAGAACCCAAGCACTGAGGTCCAACCTCATTTGGCCTTCCCATTGCCTTTATTAGATTGCAGGTCTCAGCTCAGAGATTCCAACAACCCAATACAATTTGCCTTGTAACTTCCAGAAACGCCTAAAATGTCATATTTGAAAATGGTATTTTCCAAGATTGCAAAGGGTTTAGTCTTAGTTTTTATCTTTGCATTTCAATGATGATTTCGCACATGTGGGTGGGAAAGGTAATGTGTGGCTTAGTCCACTACCTTAAATGGAAAATTCCATACTATATCTTTTCTTATTAAGCTAATATTTTGTTCTGGGAGAAAAAAAAAAGCTGGTAAAGTTTACCCAGAAGCATTTTAAGGGCAAGCTGAGTGGCATATCTTGAACACAAACATAAAGAGCAACTCTGACACCAAAGGACGACACCACCAAGAGGATGGGTCCCTCTCTGGGACTGTGTGTTTTAGTCATGTGTGGGGACAAGAACTACTGCCTGGAGCTGCAGGACAAAGGGTGGAGGTGAGACAGGGAGGGACAAGGTTCTGCTCTGTACTCCACCTACAGAACACATCTTGACTCTGCACACGTCCTTCTGGTATCAGAATGTTGCCCTGGCCATAACCAAGGAACCTGAGACTAGTCTATGTTTAACCTGAGTCATCTCTAACTTGCTGAGGAGAAATGCATTATGAAAGCTCAGCCACTGTAAAGCACTCGGGCCAAATGTGTCCTTAACTACAGCCTGCTGCCTAGTACTCCACCTTAAGTGGACTTCCTAATTTTTCACTTTTCCCCCTTTTTAAAATGATTCATATATTCAGTGGCACATTACGTTGACTTAACTTCTTACCAAAGCTCTTTCTTCTTGTTTTCCCTTTTAGTTTCCATAACAAGCCAAATTTGTAACATTTAAACAGGTAACCCTTAAATAAGTACATTTTTTTTGTACTTACCATAGTGCCCAACATCTGGTACCTTGCAAGCATTTGTCAAGTTAGTAAATTAATATTTGGTAATTGATAACAGAATAGCAAACCTGGGTATGTCATTAAGGATTATCTAATACAACATCCTCATCTTATAGCTAGGAAAACAGAGATCTTAGGGGTTATGTACAAAATGTCCAAGATCACTCACTGGCACTTTTCTAATGCCCATTTCAAAGCTGTCTTCATTATAAACTCTGTGTTGGTTAAAGTCTTATTTAAGGACAAGAGTTAAAAGTGGTGACTATATCTCATCCATTCTCATTAGACTCCCTCGATTCCCCAGGCCGTTGGGGCAGACTTTAAATAGCTGCGCCAATTGGCTCACTCACTACCAACTCCAGATTTCAGGTCAAGCACCAGGAATCTGAGAAGGAAGTTAAAGTATGTATCCTTATCTGACCTGCCCTTTTGCCATGGACCTCTTAGATAGAATCCTCTCTTTTAATTAGATCTCTGGAGGTGGGCTGCAAAGTGTCTTTTAAGAACACTGAGGAATAACTATGGAGACCAATAAATAACACTTAAGGATGAGTAAGTGAAAACTACCAATCTGGGACCTATGAAAAAATCCTATAGTCTAGAAGAGAAACAAAGATATTTCTTTCTTTTGAATTAGATTTACTCTATCAAACTAAAGATAAATTTAGATGGCGTCTTACCTATAATGAAATACAAATATCACAAATATTAAGCAGAATGAGCTAGAATAAACCACGTGAAATAGTTGAAAAGAAAATGGCCCTTCAAAGCAATGAAGGCAGAATCAAGGCAGATGGACAGAAGAGGATGTACAATTATTGAGCAATCGTGAACGAGGCTTTTAAACATGTATTTTAGTATTTAATCCTGTCTAACAAGACAGGTTTAGACTATTCTCATCTTAGCATTGAGACTGAACAATTAAGTGGCCTACAGTTACAACTAGCAAACGACAGAGTCAGAATCCAACAGGTCCATTCGGTTCCAAGCCTATAACCGTTACACTATGATTGCACCTTTTCAACTTGTCAGTGTGGAAGCAGATTTGATAAATATTTTAGAATTGAGAAAATGAATTAGAATTTGAAAAGAATGGATGAGAAGACCAAAGACTGGAATAGGTTTTCCCAAACATACATCAAAAGAACCATAAATTATATGTGTAATACAAACATTTAAAAAGGACTGATATTAAAAATTCAGATACATTACTGTATTCCTACCAAAATTTTTAACCACTTATATACAAACACGCTACATGTGTTGGTGAAATGTGTGTGTGTATATTTCCACAAAGGAAATTATCTTTCAAAGACGTTAAAAACCAGGTTAATGTTCACTTCTCTGAAACAATGGCTAAGGACAGTGCAGCAGCAACACAACACTCAGGAGGAAAGGATTTGGCCCAAGATTATCATATCCAATCAAGAGAGGATTCACAATGTGAAGACACAAAGAAATCTGAAGTCTCAGTTTCTGGATATGTCCTACCTAACTGCCTCAGAAACATATTCCAAATCATAAAGGGCTGAGAAAATGCCTCTCTATCGTATAACATAGAAACAACTGTCAAGTGACTCCCTGGCTCACATTTTCTTTCCAGCTTTAAAATATTCTACTCGATTATTCCTTTCAGGTTTAGATTCTCACTTGAATAGAGCAGACCCTAATTCAAGAGGGGCCATTTCACATTCTAACAGGGCCATGGGCTCTGCCTAATCAAAGATGAGCTAAGCCAACAAGACTTTTTCCTCTTAGACATAATCTAAACTAAGATCTACAGCGGGAAGTGGCCTCACAGTTGGTGATCAATGGAGTGAAAAGTCAGGACTGGCAGAAGTTGCTGCTGAGAAAAAACAGACAATAAACATTAAGTTATAGAGCTAAACAGAACACTAACACCTACAGGACAATTGCTGATAAATCTAAATAGCTACACTAATTGTAAGATCCAAGGGGATGAGATGATGTCTGGGGAATTCTTTGATATCAATACCAAAGAATCCAAGGATATAGTGTTGTTTATGTAGAAATGAAAAGAGACAAAGACAGTAATCAGTATCATGAAATGCTTTAAGATTTTAAAAGATACAACTAAAAACTAAAGAAACTAAATACCTAAATTCTAATGAGAAACAATTACATACTTCAAAAGGAAAAATTAAAATTTGCAAAAATAAAGCTTTTAAAAGCATAAAAATAGAAGGTAGACAAGAATAAAAATTAAAGTATATGAACTATCTAAATTATTAAACCTAGTAAAAGTTTCAAACTTCGTTTTTCACTTATTGCATTGTTCTCAAAACATTAGAACTTGAATGTAACCTACAGGAGACCAAGGATTTTTGCCTGTGTTGTTCATTGCTCTACGTTCAGCACCTGGAACAATATCTGGCATTTAATAAATATTTTTGAATGAATGAATGCAAAAAGAATGCTAACAAACACTGCCTAAGGCCCAATGTTGGCATGGCACATTGGTAAACAGGCGCTTGGATTCAGCAGAGATGGGAATTCTACACAGGCACTGTTTCTCCAGAGGACAATTTACAACACATGCCAAAGCCTTAAAAATGTGCCTGGTCTTTAATCCAAGAATTTTACTCAAGAAATGTGTGTATATATATTTATTTATTTTTCCTTTTTCTCCCCAAAGCCCCTCGGTACATAGTTGTGTATTTTTAGTTGTGGGTCCTTCTAGTTGTGGCATGTGGGATGCTGCCTCAGCACGGCCTGATGAGCGGTACCATGTCGATGCCCAGGATCCGAACCAATGAAACCCTGGGCCGCCAAAGCAGAGCACACGAACTTAACCACTCAGACACAGGGCCGGCCTGATATATATATATATATATATATTTTAAAAGATCACTATGGCATTCAACATATTTGTTTACAATAAACAAAAGACAACCAACCAAATGTCTTGCCCTAAATGCCACCTAACAGAGGAATGACTAAATTACAGCCCATCCATCCAATGGAACCCTAGGCAGTCATACAAGGGAAGATGTTGAAGAACTATGCTAACATGGAAAATAATGATGATACACCTTAAAGAAAAAAGCAGGCCACAAAAGGGATGCATAATACAATCCCATTCCTGTAAAAAGCTTCTGGAAGAATCGATACTCAACTGCTGTGTTCCCAAAAGTGGAAGGATAACAGTGATTTTTATTTTATTCTTTTTGTTCTTCCCTATTTTCTACTGTTTCTACAATGAACATGTATTACTCATAAAACAACATGGTCCATTACCAAAATTTTAAAACATTTATTTTGAAAGGGAGCAATACTATAGGCTGTGAAGTAGAGTCAAATAAACCATTAATTTTAAACATCACATACCCCCTGGAAAAATACAATATTCTTCACTTTTCAGTTCTGTGGATACGTCTCTGATATTGGATTACACCTTGCTATTTCTGAACATATTTTTATTCAAGTTAATCCTGGTAAGCAAAAAAACCCTTAAGAGGTCACAAACCAGAAGAAAGTGAAAACTAGCACTTTCACTCTAGCTTTGGGTGAGATCTTAAGTCTATTTAAACAACAGTAAGCAATATTCTGTCTCAAATGCAAACCATTATACTAGCAAACACTGAGAATCAAGTGGTCTTCAGAAGACTCTTTCTTCACTAAAAGATGAATATAAATCAGATACATCATCATATACAAATGAGAGTTAAAAAAGTTTCAATTTGAGCTCACTATTCATCATGTTATCCATCTTCAAAAGAAAGACCTCTTAGTAACGTCACAAAAAGTTCGTTCTTGTTTCGTATGAATCCACTTACGCATCAGGCAATAAGTGGAAAAAAAAATAAAGCTTATAATAACATAGGCTAGGTCAACTGTCAAACAAGCTATTGTTATTCTATCTAAGGTCCAGAATTCAGAATATACACTAAAACCACAATTAATAAATTCCCAGTTTTCTATGCTAAAAAATGGAAAAGATTGTACTACCAAGATGCCATCTTTTAAGTGTCCCATTTACTTTCCACAACCAAAAGTTTTGTTCCAGTTTTCATAAAGCTCTAAATCTTCTGGAGACACACTAGGTCGCACAGTTCTCAAAGCATTTTCAAAATCAACATAAGCTATTGGTCGAACTTGATCTGGTGTAATTGTGGCAATGTCGGCAGTTTGTAAACTGCGAATAGGACCAAGAGAAGCTTCTCTGCAAAGCTGTGTCATGTCTGCTCCAGAGAACCCATCAGACTGCTGTACAACCAGTTCAATTTCCTCTTCACTGAGGCAACACTGCTCCTTGGACATCAGATTAACTACTATCTGTTTCCTGGCTGAAGCTTCTGGGAGGGGGATATAAAGCCTTTTTACCAACCTTCTCCGGGCAGCCTCATCAATTTCTTGTGGCCGATTAGTTGCTCCCACCACTAGAATACGATCTTCAGAAGACGTGGTTGCTCCATCTAACTGAACTAGAAATTCGGTTTTTATCCTCCTGGAAGATTCATGCTCACCATCTCCCCGTTGAGATAACAGAGAATCAATTTCATCAATAAATATCACAGCTGGTTGCTGACACCTTGCAACAGCAAACAACGCACGGACCATTTTCTCCCCCTCACCTACCCATTTAGAAGTCAAGGAGGAAGCAGAGATACTAAAGAATGTTGCCCCAGACTGACTAGCAATGCACTTGCCAATTAGCGTTTTACCAGTTCCAGGAGGACCAAAGAGCAGAATTCCTTTAGGGGGTCCTCGTAAACCAGTAAAGATGTCTGGCCTCATCATGGGCCACACAACTATCTCCTTTATTGTGGCTTTGGCAAATTCTACTCCTGCAATATCCTCCCAATTTACTGGAGGTCCATGATCCATAATCTCATTCATAATGAGTTCAATCATCTTTGGCTCCAAGTTCTTCAGACGTGCATCAACCACATGTGCTGGTTCTGTAGGTCCTGCACCATAAGGCTTATACTGCATTCCCCCATTCAGATCTCCCCCATCTTGCTTAGGTACAGGAGGAACAAACTTTCCAAAGATTCCTCGGGATCGACTAGCTCCAAGAGACTTTTTTATACCACCATATGAAGACCCTGATGCACGCTGGGGTTGGTGGTGCTTTTTTTGCTGATCTACCCATAATTGTTCTTTTGCAGTTTTAAAAGTAGGCAGGCTGCTTTCCTCCCTTTGGCCAGTATCTTCTGTTTTAGTAGGAGCCTTACTCAGTATTGGGGTGGAAAGTGCATCAATGATGCCAGAACCATAAAAAGCTTTCCGTTCCTGTAGATTTTCACAGCCAGAAGGAAAACAAGACTGATTAGATGAGAACATATTTAGTCCTATGTTGGCTTTTGGAGAGTTGTTATTTTCCTTCTTGACATTGCCAAACAATGGTGTGGCATGGAATTTTGCAGTGCCTGATTCACCAAAAGGTGTTGAGAATATAGAACACATCTTAGTGGCATTAGTCACCATAGGTGGCTGGGCATTCTGAGGGCACTTCAAAGAAGGACTGCTCTCTGGGATGTCTTGAGTCCTATCTATACCAAGAGCTGACTTAGTTAATGGGTCACTCTCCCCAGAACCACCACAAATGCTAAATTTAGGAAGATCAAAGACAGCGGCTTCTTTATGGATTACTACTGATGCATCAGCAGGTGCCAAAAGAGAGTCTTTGAATTTTTTGCCAGCTTGCATCATCTCCTGTACATTACTCATTTTGAAAACATTACTTATTGATAATCCAGACTGCCACTTGTCACTATCAGTTTGCTGAGATCTTACCAAAGTTAAAATGTTTTCCGCATAGTTATTCAAACCAGATTCAACATTGTCAGAATCAATAATTGCAGAATATTTCTCTGCATATTTTTTGAACAGTTTGGTAGCACAGACCTGGGAGATCTCGGAGTTTGCCCATGCATACTGAATGCGTAGTATCTGTGCTCGGTATGCATCCGCCTTCTGTCCTGATGTACATATATCAGACATAAGTGCAAAGTAATTCTTCTGCCATTCACTCAGGTGCACAGACCTAGAGTTGGAGACCTGCATTTTAGAGGTCCTATAACAAATGACAAAAATGAAAAAGAATCAGTATCAAGAAGAAAACAAAGATATAATAAGTTAAATATACTTTTTAAATCTCTTATCTAAAGGAAGGTATATTGGACTTTTCATTTATAAAGACAGATCATTTATAAGGGAAATATGTAGTTAATCAGAGATTCCAAGCATTCAAGATATAAAGATTAAAGGCTGACTTAATAATGTTTTGTTATGAGTTAAACTATTTTAGTTATATAGTAATTTTCCCTGCCAATAAGGAGAATATTCATAAGATTTAGATGGGAAGGATTTAAAATTAATCAGCAAAAGAAAGGCAATATAGAAGAACAATGGAACTACAGAGAAACAAAATGAAACAAACCAACCCAGGAGTGTAAGTCTGGTCTCTAAGAAAACATAAATGAAGGATCTTTTAAGCAAGCCTCTTACTATTGCTGAGCCTTCTGTTTTATCTGTAAAGTGAAAGAAATCCTTGTGAGAATCAAGTCAAACGAGTATGAAAATACTCTGAAAACTACTATTATCATCCCTATTGCACAAATGTAGAGATTCAGGATGAGAGAGTTAGGAAACTTACTAGAGATCACACAGCCAGTCAGCAAGGGTGTCAGAATTCGCACACAAGCAGTTTCACTCCAAGTGCAGTGCGCTTCACCATGTATAAAATGCTCCTTGATGCTACTACCAAAGGTCATTGCTGCATGGATCATAAACATGAACCACTATGATACACTAAATGTTTTTAAGGACTTATTCATGAATGAGAACTTAAAACAGGATGCCCCAGAATCTTTCCCAATTTCCCAATTTCCCATGAAGTATTAAAATGTGAACTGTTATGACAAGTGAAATATGAGAAGAAGCTAAACAATCTGCTAGTAAAGTATTGTTAGATTTCTTCTCTCAGGTTATTTTTATAAGGCTCCTTACATTAAGTAATATTATTGAAACAGAATTGCAGATGAATGTACCATGTTGCAGAATTTCCCTGCCAATCCACAATAAAAAGTTATAAGGAAACTTTTAAGTTTCCAAGGAGTATTGCAATAAAGCAAAAACCAAGAACTCACATATTTGAAAATTCACCTTCCAAATCACCTGTAAATATAGCTTAATATTCAGTAGGTTCCTGTAGTGCAAGAGCCATGTTTAATACAGCTTTGTATTTCCCAAAATGCCCTACAAGGAATCTATCACACTCTAGGGAGGTGTTCATAAATCTTTGCTGAAAAAAAGTAAAGAAACTTAAGAGGCAGGGAGATTGTAGTTTGCTTAAAGCTATAAAGATAAATAAACTAGAGTCAAAACTAGAACTTGTATTTCCTGACAAGCACTTCATCCCTCTTTCCACTATACTATTCTAACCTACTTTAATCTCTTTTATGCACTACTGGAAATGAGAAACTGTAAGAGAGGTGACTTAGAAAACACTTATCACAAACTTTCTTTGTGTATGAGCATCCTTCCTCTCCATGGCTTCATCCCACTTGGTCATCTGCAGTCCTGGGTACTCTTACAACAGCTCTGAGTTCTAGTCACTGTTTGCAGAACACCTTCCTTTCTCTTTTCCACCTTCACCATTTTCTTCAATATTCACCTCCCAAGTCTTACTTCTTCCTTTGAACTCAATCATTTATCCAACAAATACAGATATGGATAACCAAACAACCGTTTAGCCAGCACTGGTCAATAACACAGCCATTGTCCCGGTTACCATTTCCAAGTCACTCTAACCTTTATGGCCTTTCCTAGATCTAAAAATTATGGCTAATTAGCACTGATACATGAATGGCATTTCAATCTTCTTTGAAAGTTTACTGCTTATTGTGCAGTGTGATATCTGTCTTTTTAGCTAGATAGTTGGCCTCTGCAAGTAGCAACTCTTTTCTATTACATTTATATCCTCCCAGTATCTAGAATAGGGCAATCCACTGGAATAAAAGCTATTAAAATACTGACGGAACTCCTAGCAGGTGCCAGACACTGTGCCGGCCCTTTATTTAAGTTTCTAATTCCCAGAGACAGCACAGGATTTGGATTCTGGCTCCACTGCCTGCCAGCCGCGACCCTGAGTAAATTCCTTAAGTTCTCTACGTACAGTAACATTACTTAGTTGACAGGAGCTCTTAATTCTGCAGGGCACTCAAAACAGTTCTCAGCACTCAGAAAATACTCGACGGTGTTACTCCTTATCATTCCTCACCACCACCCCTCCACGAGGGACAGTATCCGCCTCCTTTCTGATCACAGAGGTCGACGCCTGCCTCGGGTCCCCCGGCTGGGCTGTCAGCGGCGGATGGGGAAGAACTAGCCCGCGCAGACCCATGACTACCACCGACGAGAGGGAAGGCTGAGTGTGTACGACAAAGACTCCGGCCCTGGGAACGACCTGCGACAGGATGCAGCCGGCCAGACCGACCGCCTACAGCCCAAAGTGCCGGGACAGCCTCCCCCGCCCGCGTCCCCACACTGGGACCGCGCTGCCCCCTCAACCGCCTTTCTCGGAGCCTCCAAGGCCCCCTCCTCTAAAAGTAAGTCACCTAAGACGGACCGGCGCTGAGGGCACGCCCACCGCGAGAAACCACTCCAGGACTCCGGCTTTTCCCCAGCCGGCCCAGGAAGACCCTCAACTCACTGGTGATTTGGGTTGGCGCCGGGAACCAGCCTGGTCCCTCTGCGCTCCGGGTTCACGGCTCCCAGCTCCTAGCCGGCCCGACTCCAGCCCGGGCGCGGCCCCGCCCCACCTCGTCTCGTCTCACCTCACCTCTCCGCCTCGCCGCCGACGGGAAGCCTCCGAAAAGCGCGGGGATCGCTGTGCGCTTGCGTACTGCTGACGTGCTCGGGCCCGCGACGAGCGTGCGTGCGTGCGTGAGACGCGACGAGTAGGCGCGCGCGTCTCGAGGGCGGGTCTCCCGGGCCGGCCGCTGCTCCGGCCCCTGCAGTTTAAGGAAGGCTGAGAACAGGTATTCTGCGACCAGAGACGTGCTAGCTGTCTGGCCACGACAGGCTTACTGACGTCCTGAACTATCTTCGTTTTCCTGCGCCTGTGCTTCATTTTAAAAGTCCTCCGAAATACGGACGCGGCGCGCTTAGAGCTGACCTACGTTCAGAGGATTCGCGTGGACCGCGCCTCCCTGGACTCACGGCGGGGGAGGGCGGGTCCTCTTGAAGACGGGCGTGGGGAGGGGTGAGCGCGTCTCCTGCAGGGGTAAGGGGAGCCTGCGGCGTCAGAGCCCAGCCCAGCCCAGTCCCCGCGGTTCCCGGCCGTACCCCGTCTCCTGGCCATACCTGGGCGGCGAGTCCGCCAGTCTGTTCGCCAGAGAGCGCGTTAGTAGGTGGGTGCTGGGGAAAGGGTACTCACTGGCGGAGAGGCTTGAATAGAGTGCCCTGCAAGATCCGCGTGCATTTTTGAGACCTAAGGGAATTGGAATACCTGCTTTGCATGAATCTGGCAGCTCAGATCTACTCCTCAGCTAGCACTTCCCTTTTCCCGCCCTGCACTCTCTAGGGACACGTTCCTGGAAGACTGAAAAGCACTCTATTATTACCTGGGACTTTGTTCTGGAGCAAGGCTTCAGAGAACAGAACCATGTTTAGATTAGTGAATTGCATTTTCAGACCAAGTGACAGAATAGCCACTCACAGCTATTCTGTGGGTAAGCTATTCTATGGGGTAATTGCTGTCATGTCACATAAGTCTGGAAGTTGGCAGTTCCAGGTCTGATGACACTACCTAAGGATGTCATAAAGGACCATTTCTCCTGCCATCTACTTCCCATGGAGTTTCCTCCCCAGGCTTGTCACCTCTTTCTCGGAAAGGGCCCCCACGATCCAAGGAACGTTGCCTCACACAACCATATTTAAAGCAAGAAGGGGCCAAATGGGGGAAGGACCTTTCCCTTTGTGTGTTCTCTCTTGGAAAAAGGAAGAAGACATTTCCCAGAAAGCCCCAGTAGCCTCCCTCTGGGTCCTATAGTTACCCCTTCTGAGAAAGGGAATATCTCGTGCAGGAGATGGGGAAAATAGCTGTGCAGTAGCAACTACCAGCACATGACGTTTAAAAAAAAAATCCAAAGAAATGTGAGGCAAAAAATTTTTGAAGACCTTTAAGAGAGTTTTAAATGGACACCAAATAAAAGAGATTGGACAATGCATGTTAAAAAATAGACAGGGGTTACAATGAAAACAACAGCTCCCAATTCATTTCTTGGCTTAGACAGTAATAAAAGACTTTTATTGTAATTGCTCATAAGTTGTTAATTTTCTAATTATTATAATTACCCAAAATATATAGAATAAAAATAAATGAAAATGAAAACTAGTATCTCAAGGTCAACTCAGTTGTGTGTTTACTAGCCATTTTTCTACTTGTATATTTAGAAATCACCATATAAATACTATTTGAGTAATTAGCAATTTTTGGTGATTTTCATCATCAAAATTTTAATGATAGCATTTTGGAGACTTCATATGAACCTCTGTCTTAGCCTCCTAAGAGTATTGCTCAAATACTGAATTACATTTATAGTTACCAGGGTTAGCTTTTTTCTAAGTGACACTAGCATTGCTACTTCACTTTTGTGCATCTGATACAAAAGCATTCCCCAATCCAGCAATTTTCTCTTCCTGCAGAGCTGGCAAAAGTGTGACCCCCTTCTGTACCCTCTCTGAATCTCAACCTCATCCTCATCTATAAAACGAGAATATCTCTAACTCAGGGTGCTGTTACAAGGATTACAATCAATACGAGATATAATACTGTAGGGGATCAGAATTGGCCACCCCAAAATGTGTCCCTTTAGCATGAGGATTATTGTGGGCTGGTTACTTTTAAAAACTGCAGAGATGGGAGAAGCTCTGAAAAGTAGAATTTACCATTTGTAAGAGACAGTTACATTTGTAAGGGAAATCTCCATTTGTAAAGGTGCCTCCCTCTCTATACCAGGAAGAGGGGGATGACCTTATTTCTAGAAACCCTTATCAGTGCAGAAGGCAAGGACTTAAATCTGCATAATAACCTTACTCTTGTTTACTGTACTTTTCTGGTAATCTCCCATAACTGACTCCGCCACCCCCGGCATCCTCCCCTGTTTTTAGATGAAGATGGTATTTAAGGTGAGAAGCTCCATCGCTTTGGTGAGTTGCTCAGTTTTCCTGAATGTCTCCCATATATACATGTTATAAAGCTGTGTTTGATTTTCTCTTGTTGTTCTGTCTTATATCAATTTAATTCGTAGCCCAGCCAGAAGGACTCAGAGTAGAGGATTTGTCTTCCCTACAATACTGAATTAGCAAAGTAGTAGCTGGCACATGGCAGACATTCAACAGAAGCTGTGATGCTGTATCATATTTATTGCTGCTATTAATGCTATTTTTTGGGATTCAAATTCTTACACCATCGCCAGACTTTTTCATCTTTTACAAATGGGACATTTTAGAATACTATCCTAATACTTTAGCATAATATAGAAGAGTTTAGTGCTTGAGCTATGCAGATGTTAAACCTTCCCTCTGACACCACAGACGGTGTTCTTTCTTCTCCTGAGTAGAATTTTTGAACCTGCAAGGGAAGTGATTTTCACCTACAGCAGAGTGCCAGTGCTTGGTGTGAGGGATTCTGGGAGATGGCTGCATATTTCCATATTCATGAATGTTATAAACATGGTCTCAAAAAAATGCCAGTGTACACTTGAGTGATCTCATTTGTTTTTGAACAGAGGGAGACTATGGCCCCAAATAATGTGCATCCCTGTGTGCCAGGACAGTTAGACTTTATAAGTTTCAAAGAGATGTGTTTGTTGGGGCCAGCCCCATGGCTGAGTGGTTAAGTTTGCACACTCTGCTTTGGCAGCTTGGGGTTCGCCAGTTCGGATCATGGGTGCAGACCTACACACTGCTCTTCAGGCCATGCTGTGGTGATGCCCCACATAGAAGAACTTGTATGACCTATAACTAGGATTTACAACTATGTACTTGGGCTGTGGAGAGAGAAAAAAAGGAAGATTGGCAACAGATGTTAGCTCAGGGCCAATCTTCCTCACCAAAGAGATGTGTTTGTCAATGTGTGGAAGGTGGTAGGATGGTATTGAGGAGATATTGAAGTAGACAGGACAACAGTCAGTTCCTTCTTGGTGGGATTCCTGAGTGTGACTGGATTCTGATTGATTTCTCTGCCAGCAGTCTGTGCACTACATCATGACACTAAATTGAATATATATTTACGTAAAGATACTATACACATAGATTAAGCTGAATAATCCAGACCTTTAAAAACTTCCCCACATTGGGCTATTAGGGAGTTGTCTGGTTAGGGTCAGGGGCCAAGACTCTACCCTAGGAGGTGAAGAAGGCTTTTTCCCAGAAGGGAAAGGATGTTCTCACTGCCAGTTATCCTTAGATATGGCTCATTCTGGGGACCAGACAGCATATTTGGCAGCATGGTCGAGTGGGCAATGGTGTAGATTTCAGACTGGGTTCCAGTCCCAGCTCAGCCACCAATAATCAATATGGCCTTGGTACTAGTCACTAAACATATTGATGTCTTGGTTTTCTCATCCATAAAATGGGAATAATCATTGGGAATTTTAAAGTATTAAATAAGTTAATATCTAAAAGATATGTGTAACAGCACCAGCATAGACCAAGTGCTATGAGTATGTGTGTTAAATAAACTGGGAGGAAGTAGTTCTTCCTCTTTCTAGGTTAGGTAGTGTGGGGTCTGATCACTATATTATGGGGATGTCTAGAGAAGTCAGGAGGTGGGGTGAACTGCCATGAGTTACTTAGAAATGAGCCAGAAGTCATACCACCTTTTAACTCTGCTGGGTCTACATCTAAGCTGGTGTCTTAGATCTCCACCAAAAGATCCAGCCAGTTCAGAGGAGGGAATTCTTTAGTCACTCAGCCAACTTCCTGACTCCTGTCTGTGCATGTCTCCCAGCAGCATCCCTATTTTCACCTGCTGCCCAGTCTCCTGCCTCAAACTCAAATCTCAGCCATCTTCCCAAAGTACATTTATGGACGGGGCTGGATAGAGCCGCTCCAAAAAGACCAAGGGCTGGCATTGGTGACTTTGGTGGCTTGTCTTAGAGCCCTTCCTTACAGCAATCTTTACTCAAGAGCACAATCTCATAAATTTGAGGCACCTCAGCCTCAACTCAGTGATCTGAGTGCTCAACACTTTACGGCTCCTAATGCAGTGACCCCAGTGGCCCATCCCAAGTCCCATGCTATGGACGTGGAAGTCAGGTCTGGTTCACTGATGTGTAGAGAACAGACGACCTAACCAAATAAGATGCGGACTACATGGCATCTCATATATTTTCAGATTTCTGAAAAACAGATAAGATCATTCAATTATATTTGCATAAATATCAGAGGTATTTGAAATTCAAAAATACCCATTAATAACCCAAGAATCCTTTCCGAGAGTGCTTTCGATAGTTCTGTAGTCTCCAAAGGATAAGAACTAATCTTGGGATTAAAATACCCATGTTTCTAAGAGCAAAAATGCTTTCAAATAAAAATAGGTTATTTGGGTAAATACTGCACTTATTGGCATTGATGTATACAAGCCTACTCTTCAGTTGTTTATTAATTATGATACCATAGGGCAGATGGACTGATTAGATAAAGAAACCAAGGCCCCAGAAGTTAGAGTTTTTCCCGTTACATGAGTAGAATTTGGTCTCTAGTTGTGTCTTAGCTCTGAATTTATTTCTTCAGAAGTTGAAGTCATCTCTAAGTAAAACTTGTGTGTTGTTAATGCATCTAGAACAGGGCCAGGCATATACTAGGCACTCAATATACATTGTTGAATAAATAAATATTGTTTAAAAATATCCAAGTATGCCATACCTTTGGCAATTTTGAAAGGGTAAGTCGATGTGACAATATTCAGTGCAGTACAATGTAGAACAGGATGCTTACCAGACACAACTCCCATTGCACTTCAAATTGTTTATTAAGCATCGAGCCACATGATGGAACAATTGAAAGACTACAAGTGTAATCTCAAGTTCCATAACCAGAGATTGCCCTGGAAAATATTTCAATAAGCCTTTCCCACCACTGACCACTTCAAGAGCACAAAAACACAGCCAAATAATGAATAAAAGCTACGTCCACTGAGATGAACTTTTCATATAGCAAATAATATTTCTTCATTGATGAGAGACTGAGCAGATGTAATCACAAGCTTCTGGATAACTTGGATAAGAAACATGAGGCCACATGTAGGCTTGGTTCCATGGAGCCGGGATGACGTATATTTTCCTCTCATTCCAGTTTTCAGAGATTCTTTTTTCAACTTTTGATCTCTACAGGGAAAAATAACATGAAGATATGGCTGCATTCAAAAAATTAAAGAATCTGAATTTTGTGTACTTCTCATTTGAGCACAGAGAAGGAATATGCTATTTCTCCAGTGAGATGGAGGCAACTCTGCAACATAAAAGAGTTTGAATTGGAAAAAAAAAAATGAGTTTTTATTGCCGATCTGGCTTCTCTATGACACATTTTATCACTATCAGCTGGAATCTGTGCCCTGTTTCTTATCTCTGTAAAGTAAGGATAGTTCCTTCTTTCTCTCAGAACTGGGACTGGATTTGATATGATTACCTCAAATAAGCACAAGTAAGGCCAAGGTATTAAGATTTTCATTGTTCTAATTAATCTTGCCAAAATAACATATGAGCATTCTGACTTACGATTGTATCCTGTACTTAAAGAAATTAAATCTTATTTTTTGCTTTTGAATTGATAGTGAGTATAATGACTCCACAGTAATTGTGACTTCTAACAGAAGTGTGCCTTTGTTTCTGATCATTTTTCAGAGCTACAGTCTCTTTCTGTGTTGCTGTGGGTACATAGGAATAAGATCATGATACGATACATCCTGATGAGATATGTGCAAACACAAGGTTGCAGAAATGTTAATCAGGAGTGTTCTCCTGATATGGTTTTGTTTTGTATATATCTTATAGTGGTTATTCTCTGCCCCCCCTCAACAGAGCCTTATCTTAGAGCAATGGAATAATTTGAAAATCTGAACCTCTCCCCAGTACCTTCCAGAGATGCTCAAGCTATAACTTTGGAGTTGGTCTGGGCAGGGTGGTCCCCCTCAGCTTACCAGCAGTGCACCTTTAAGAAAGGTCCTTACTGTGCCAGGAAAAGGCTCTGGTATTTCGGGACATGCCTTGACTGAGAAAGTGGATATCCGACCTCAGGGGTCAGGAGCCATGGATAGGCCTTTCACATAAATGAAACACAATTTTTAACTTTTGATTTTTTGAGCACTGTAATAGTTCAGATATTCACAATTAAAATTAAGAGCAAAGATAAAGTTGTATGCAATCAGTAAGATAAATTACATCATATGCTTAGGTTCCACATTCCCCACAGGTTAGGATAACCAAGCAATGGAAAAATGTGAAAGAAGAGAGAGAAAAAGAAGCAGAAGTTAAGGGGATGATCACAGAGGTATGTCCACCACCCCCCTCCCCCAAAATGGGGTGAAAGAAAAAAAAGACAGAAACAAAGAAGATGGACAAACTCCACTGGAATGACATTCTTAAAATAACCTAATGAAAAGGCTTATAAGGTTGTTGTGGTTCCAACAGACATAGCTTTAAATACCCTCCCTGTTACCAACACTGCATTTGTGTAAAACGTTTTCCTTCCAAGTTACCACATGCTGTCTTCAGGGTTTCTGTCTTTCATACAGGGTAAATCCCTCAGAACCGCAAGAAGCCCAGCGGTCTAAACATCTCCTTCCTCTGAACCATCAAGAATTGGGTCCTTCCTGACAGTAAATCATCAGGTATGTCAAATTCCCTTCCTAATGTTTTCAGTAATTTTCGTTTATCTACAGTTTGCCAGTTTAACATATAAGCTAATTATGACAGTAAGTTGCCTCAATGAACACTGAAGAAATCTGAGGGGAAATTATAGAGATAGATGACTGATAGCCTCATATAAAAGAATACAGAGTAAAAATCTAAGTGTCTAAAGAGTCATTACTGTATAGCGATCCTCCCCTAGACGAGACAGGGTGAGGTGTTATCTTCTTCTTTTTACAGAGGAGGAAATTGGTCCCAGCAGCATTGAGTGATGGAGTTGGGACGGCAGCTTACCTGCAGCCGGCCCACCTTTTATTCCTTCTCTGCTTTCAGCAGTTCGGTTGCCAGCCCTCTGATGTGCTCCCAGGCCAGCTGCACGTGGGCAGATTCCACCGTGCGAGAGCAGATGGCAAAACGCAGCACGAACTTGTCTCTGAGGTGACAGGGAACCAAGTGGATCTTTTTGGCATTGTTTATTCTTTCCAGAAGAGCTTTGGTCAGTTTGTTGGAACCCTGAACAGATTGAGAGAGAGGAGCCGTGCTCAGGTCTCAGAGGACTGAAAAATTCAACTAATCACAAAGTAGGGCCAGTGCTTGGTAATATTGCAACCTATCAGTGAAAGAAACGAGTTTACCATTTGCTTTTCATTTACAATTGTAAAAAATAAAAAAATCAACTAAATCATAGTTACATGGCTCTAAAAGATTGCATCCTTTCCCTCCAAGACAATTTCTTGGTGTTCTAATGTGCTGTCAAAGGATGACCCTTCCACAGACCAGGTTCTTTAAGGAAAAATGAAGATTCCTAGATATGTGATCTACAAACTGATGAGCTTACACAGCAGAAATGGGGTTTCTGGTGGTCCCAGTGAAGGAGGCTCACTGAAATATATAGAAGAAAGTCTCAGCAACATAGAAAATGAAGCCTAATAGCCAACTTATTGCAAGAATCTGGGAAAATTGCCCACGAACTATAGGAGCAAGGGACCATTGGTGGACTTTCCATCTGGCAAGGAGCATCCCACCAGCCTTGGGCCAGAGGCCCAGCCCTTGCACCAAGTGGACCAGATGGAAACTTGTATCACACAGAAACAGAGAAGCCGTCGCTTCCCTGCCTGGGTGCTGCTTCCCGTGGCAGTGAGTCTCGCCACTCTTCTCATCATCCTCCCCCAACTCCTCTCAGTCTTTCTTCTGTTTCCAGGCAGCCACTCTACCACCTATAAGCCATATCGTTGCATGTAGAAGGGGGCTGGAAGTGGGGCCTTGCATGCTTGGTGGTACGACCCTCACAGGATTGTATTGTTTGTGTTCTCACTCTGTCTTGGAGTCGAGGCAGGAAGGACGAGTGGGAATAGAAGAGTCCAATTCTGCCCGGATGAACACCTGCTGGATGCTGGAAACTGGCCTTAGGCTGTGCACATCCACCCACTTGCTGGCTGTGGGCCTGAGTGGGGCTCCCATTGGTGCCCAAAGGGACAGTGAATGGACCAAAGGCAATTCAGAAACTGTTGTCATACACCAGGTCTAGACAAAGTTTGTCCTATTCAAGGATGAGGATAGAGAAGAAAGAAATTATGATACAAAGGGAATGAAATTTTACCAGGAAGACTTAGCATAAGAGCAAACACCTGAAAACTATATAGCGCAGGAAATGAAAGCAAGTTATTTAGGAAAAATGTACCTGCCATTTTCAAATGAATTGGACAAGATATGTTTTCTGTTAAATAGAGACAAAAAGAAAACAGTCTGAGATAGAAGGAGGAGGAGAAGAAGAATAGACTAAGATGCAGAATAGGATCAATGGAGGACTGATTGGGATGAGGATGAAAGGAGATCAATTATGCAATAGCAACAGTTTATCTGCTTTGAGTTAAATAAAGACCACGTATATGTTGAAGCAGTCAGTGATGCAGAGGATTTAAAATCCAGACTGGAGAGGAATGGGACAGAGAGAATAAAATAATGACACGACAGTAGACGTGGAAGCAGAAAAATGAACCATCATGTCTGAATAATAGGCTTCTTCAAGAAGAAACTGGATTCATGGAATGGAAGTAACAAGGTAAGTTTCACAGAAGGAAACCTGTGTTAGCTGAAAAGCACCGTGGGATTCCTGAATGGGAGGACTCAGTATGTTGCACAAGAGAAAATGGACAGCGACCATACACTGGTGGGTTTGGTGTCATCATGAATTATAAGAAGAAGATAAAAGTCTTAACCTTGACAACATTATAGAAAGTGAAAGAAGCCACTCACAACAGACAACATAATGATAATTCTATTCATAGGAATGTCCAAAATAGGCAAATCCATAGAGACAGAAAGCAGATCAGTGGCCCTCAAGGATGGGGGGAGGGAGTGACTGCTAATGGATATGGAGTTTCTTTTGGGAAGGATGAAGATGTTCAAAAATTAGATTGTGGTGATGGCAGCACAACTCTGTGGATATACTAAAAATCCTTGAAATGTATACTTTAAATGGACAAAGTATATGGTATGTGAGTGATATCTCAATGAAGCTGTTAAAAGTTTAAAAACCAAAGTCCTATAAGAACGCTGGCATTAAAAAGAAAAAAACAAAACCCCTGCTTAATGGCAAAAATCAAAGCATGATGCCAACACCCACGCTGACTGAACTGCCACGTCTGGTCATTCCAGAGGACCACACATCTGGGACACTGGTGCCTGAGGCGTCTCCCCATGTCCACCTGAGCATGTGTACCCTCTCTCTTCCTCTGCACACTTTCTCTCAGATCTCACAACTTCATGCTGTGCACAGAGCTCACGTCTCCCTTGCCAGCTCTTGTGTCAAAACTCCAGGCTTTTCCATGACTGGTTCTCACCATCACCTCACAGCTCCAAGAATTAGTTGGGGAAAGAAATGGTAAGCAGAGGGCCGAGGTTTAACTGGCAGCTCCTTGACAATGCAACTGAACTCATCACTCCTTCTCCTGATAGCTTTCTTGGATTTGAAAGGGAGGCCTTGAGGAAGGGGAGATTCTGGAAATGAAAATCTAGCTCCAGAGCGGTCAGGGTGGTAGGTTCTCAACCAGCTTCATTTACACAAGGTAGATTAATAAGGTGCGTGTGTTCAGCACATCTTGGGATCTTTTAAGAAACATCGTCATGGAAGTAATGAATGCTATTTTCCCCTCTGTCGCATTCGAAGACAATGAAGAAGACTGAAATCGACTTAAACATACCTTTAGCCGAAAACAGACCAGCCCCAGAGTGACTTCTGCACAGATTTCAAAGCGGGGATCCTGCTGCACCAAAGACTCAAACTCGTGAGACAGCTGGACGTGCTTGAAAGGGAAGGGGAAGCGGTCTGAATTTCTCATCACCACATAATTCAGAACCTAACCAGCTAGAAAACCTTATTAGACTGCACATCCATAATTCATTTAGATGCTTCTAGATATTTTCTTCAAGTGTTTATGTCACCCACTCACCAGCTGTCCCCACACAGGTTGAGCAGAAACTCGTTACCACAAGGAAAGGGCTAGTGTCTTCAGAAAAATCACCAACCATCATTTTCTTCTGTTCAGGGGACTGTTTTTAATCACACCAAAACAACTTTTATAACTTTAGAATAAACATTGCTAAGATGTATTTAAATGTCCTAGAAAAGAGACAGTGGCTCATGTCTCTTGAGAAGCTGCCTTGTGCTAGCTGAGAGCCCTGCACTGCACCACGCATCCTCACGATAGATAGCCCACACACAGGGGATAGCACGATTACACCCATCCTGCAGGCGAGGAAACCGAAGCTGTGGTGCTGATGCAGCTGCCTAACACCAAAGCTTTAGGTCCACAGAGTTTGCCACTGAGAGATGTGAATCATGTCAGTCCCCATGACATTCAAGAACCACCTTCCTCTCTCTGAATTCACCACCTTATTTGACTTCTAGATGTTTATGGAGCTCAAAAGCTGACTCAAATAATATGTGCTCTGAGAACAGGCTCTCCACGGTCTAGGTGTACGTGTTGCTCATTCTAATCCCAGGCATCCAGCATGGTGCTCTCGCTTGTAGGTGCTCGGGGAGTACCTGAGCAGAAGCACCCTCGCTCAAAATGTTGTTGGGACTGAGACACCATTTAAATGAGCGGTTCCCAGTCACATAATAAATCTGCTGCCACTAGAGGGCACCAAAGACTTCATGCTGGAAGGTGATTCCCTCTCCCGCCCCCCCAACTCCCACTGCTGGCTGGGTCCGGGAAGAGCCACGCACCTACCTAGGGACGGGCCTTGACATCCCTGTGCTCCCCTTGTAAGACAAGACTGCTAACCCTCTTCAAGCGAGGCATGGAGTGTTTTTAGCATGAAGCAGCTTAATCACATCCAGTTGTCTCTGAGCTTAAAGCTGGAATCTTTATGGTGAGATAAACCACTTGTTTTTCACCTTCTTTCCCCAAAGAAACTGAATCCTCATTATATTTGAGACCATGGTCTTGAATGAGGACAGGGGGCTCTCCTACCCATAAACTCACACACACTCCTTTCCTAGTTCACTACCCCACATAGATTCTCCGGGTGATCTACAGCACCCATGTTTTCCCCACAATAGCCTTGCCGGTAGAGAGAGGCCAGTGGGTGGCATTCGATAAGCACTGGGCCAACGCTTGCAAATGGACACCTTGCCATCTGCCCTGTCACAGAGGAGGGGCCTGGAGCCATCCCACTCCACCTGCAGCTGCACAGAGGCTAAGCTGTGGTGCCAGGACATAAAATGAAGGGCTGACTCGTCACTATGGCTAGAGTTGGAACCCACAGGGGTGTCCAGTTCCCCTGAAGACTGAGGACCTCTGTCCTCAGGATAAGGTCACGGCTGAGGAAAGACAATAGGATGGGAGGGACCCAGCTGGAATTCAGCAGGCCTGCCACCACTGCCCAAATGAGTGGGCCTTGGGCAAGTCCCAGCACATATTCTGGCCTCACTTATTAGGGAACAAAAGCAGGTAATGGGGCTTTGAGCAGATCCATGGTTCTCACATTTCAGTGGCCATCATACTACCTGGTTCACTTATTAAAACAGAGGTTGCTGGGACCCACGCCATGAGATGAAGATCATGCAGGTGCTGCCAGCTGGGGCCCGTATGAGAACCACCAGGCTAGATGACACCCATGCCACCCCAGCTCTAAGATTCTCTTTCCTGGAAGTTTTTGGAGAAAAATATCTTGTGTCTTCACTGTTGTCATTGCTGACTGGACCTCACTGTCATCAAGATGTGGCTCAAGTGCCAACTATGTGGTGTTTTCGCTTTGACCATCTCCTGGGGCTGATAGCCTGTGTCATGGAAGTGTCTAAAAGGTCCATAATCATGCACTGACCATCTTATAAATACCCTATCTCAATAGCCCAGTCTATCCCTTATATCTGCTTATCAAGACATCTTACTTCATTTCTAAGACCTCCCTAATATTATCCTGATAAATAATGAAAGCAAAGGCACCTTGCGGATATAGGCTTGCAGTCCCTTGATTCCATACATCCTAAAAACAAACCACATCTTCAAAGAGCGGAATCTTCGACCCAGTGGTAACTGCCAGTGCTGAAAGAAAATATAAAAGGACACGTTAGTGAGGAATGTCCTCGGAGCTGGTTTCCTTTTTGACTCATCAGTCTGCCTGTTTCTCTTCGAGGCAGTTAATTCCCTGGAGGCCAAGCCCTCCAGCTGCCATGCCCCATCTTGGACGGCAAAGCTACCAATGGAGTGAGCAGTTCCCACAGCAAGAGGGTTTCTTTGCAAAGCTCTGAGACAGATGGGGGCAGAACAGGCTGTTGACTTGGGAGACACTGTGTCCACCGTGTGCACTCAATGGATGTTTGTTGAGTGCACACAGGGGGCGAGACCAGAGCTGGGCCTGAGGTGCCATTGATGGGGTTGAGGGCCGGCCGCCCCAAGATGTGGGGCTCTGGTATGCAGATTATTTCCAGCTGAAGAAAATGAAGCCTCAAAAGTCTCAGGAAGAGCATCCGACCTTCTCCCCTCAAACTGCCTAAAGGACTTCAACATAGAAGGCCCGTTCCAGGAAGGAGCTCATAGCATGTGATAGCTATAGTATGATGTAAAATGGGTGTGATAAAAGGACACCAACAAACCCATTTTTGGGGCCTAGCAAAACCTGTTTAACAAACATTTGCATTCCATCTTTTTGTAGATTGTCTTCCTCCTCTTTGAAGTCCCAGATCATCATGTCCTCCTTGTCTGTAGCTGAGGATACTTAAACAGGCGGACTCAGCCAGATGGCTGAGTCACTCAGTTTCTTCTGGGTTCCTCCCGTGTATACATGCTATTAAATTTTGTTTGATTTTCTCTTGCTAACCTGCCTCTTTGATTATTTAGCCAGCCATAAGAACCTTAAGGAAAAGCGGTGGGGGGAATTCTCCCACTTCCCGACACCATCATAAGCAGACAGCGAAGGTGTGGCGCCGACCCCATGGAGTTTACAATACAGTGGTAGGGGTCGGGGTGGGGGCTTTCACTGGTTTCTCCATCTACAGAAAGAGGAAGGAGGGAGTTGAAGGCCACACCCCTCTGCTGCATCTTCCCTGTGAGGTTCTAGCACCATTTTCTAGAGCAATATTGACTCTCTTTCTACTCCACTGGCCACCACAGAATGACCTGCAAGATGCTGTCACTAGAAAATACACCACCAACATGTACGACCTCAAATAAGCTTTCCCTAGTTTTTCCTGAATTTGTCAGCTGACTGGCACTCTACATGGTGTGTCACTCTCCAGTGGTTGTGAATGTACTCAAGCAGGGAAGAAAGGATGCAGAGGGGAAGGACAAGGGGCTGTTTGGGAAGATAAAGTACAGCAGTTTCCCCCCTTATCCTTGGGGGATATGTTCCAAGATCCCTAGTGGATGCCTGAAACCATGGATAGTACTGAACCCTATTTGTTCTGTTTTTTCCTATACAGACATACCTATGATAGTTTAATTTATAAATTATACACAGTAAGAGATTAGCAACAATAACCAAAACTAAAATAGAACAATTATAACAATATACTGTAATAAAAGTTATGTGAATGTGGTCTCTCTCTCTCTCAAAAGTGAGGAGGGGATGGAAGGAACAAAATGCCTAGGGAAAGACTGATGCCCCAGGCCCTTTGCATGCCCAGAACCCCAGAGAGAGGCCTCCACACTCAGGCCTCCACCAATCTGTGTGTTCTTTCCTAGTGGGGATGCCCTGAGTCTGCCCCATGTGACCTCTCCTACTTCATCAAGATGGTATTCTAAGGACTAACTTACGTGCATCAGTGTTTATAAGACCCTCTGCTCCAAAATAATTTCCCTATCCTTTTCATTCGATCCTTCACAAATTGCATTCATTACCCATGAAATATTTGCCTAGAATACACTCTGTGCCATCCCCCCGGCTCTTTCCAGGGGGACAGCAGAATATGCAGCACAAGCATTCAAGAGGCCCTCACAAACCAGGTAGACATCAGTGGGGGCCAGCTGCTATCATGCTTCACACCTGCTTGGAAACAGGTCCTTTAAAAACAGCAGGTGGGCCAAATGCAAGCTGTCCAGACACAACATACAACTCATAAGCTGCCAGCACTTAATGCCTGGGACTTCATTATCATAAAGTATAAGAAATGGTTTAAGGAGAAGCTGGAATATCAGATTAGCTAAGGAGTTGGGACATTTTCCCTCAGGCCAGAAATAGCCACCAGAGAGGATTGAGATGTTTCAGATCCATCTCAGAACGGCAGCTCAAGCACTGCAGAATGATCCTCATGGCATGTGTGACTGTCTGTACTTCTGTCTCCCTCAGCAGCCTAGGGGTCCAGGAGGGAGGTATGGGGCCTTGTGCACCTCTGAGAAGCTGCCAGAGCAGCCCATGGCTCCTGGTTGGGAAAGGAGTCTTGCCATCAGAGAAGCCAGTTAAGAGGCTGCCCTATGAGGCTCTGATTCTTCATTCTCCTCCTGCCCTCAGGATCCGGGCTCGAGGCATGCAGCAATAGTGTAGAACGGACAGAGGAATCTGGGTGCAGAAGTCCCTGTCCCCTTCCGAGGAGCACAGGCAAGATCCTTTCCTTCTGACCTGAGAGCTGCAATGGGTGGGTTCAGCAGAGCTGTCTACTGCCTGGTCTGATTTGCTCTTTAGGACCCAGTTAGAAGGTGTCCTTTGGTGGGACCCTGATAATGAGAGGAACAGGAGGCAGCAGGACTTATAGCCCATAATAGCATCCAGCTGCATTCATATTTTGGATTACCACAGACCTAGAGCTCAGTGTGACAGATTTCCCACTTACCCTGTAGTCAGTGATAAGCCCTAGAAAAGAGGAAAAAAAGAAACATTAGACACATTGGTACATTATGTGGCTAACGCTTCTCAACTTAAAGGTAAATTTCTTATGTCCCATCCGTCATCTCCTGAACCAGACATGAGACCTTCCAGGGCTGGGGCTGGGTGTTCTTTGTGGCACTTTCCGAGGTAACAGATTCTAGGAGGTTCCTGGAGAGAGGAATGCACAGAACACAAATTGGAAATGCTAAACTATGAATGGATTCCCATTTGCCTTACTTTCTGCAGTGACATAAGCATGAAAATCTGAGATTTCTTCTAGTTCCAGCGGTACATTGACATTCAGATCATGTAAAGCCTTCATCATTCATTCATGCATGCATGGGAAGGTGAATTTGAGATAGAGTGATTAGAATATAAAAAAAGAATCAAACTCTTGATGAGTATTCATCTCCATGTTCTCAGATCTTAGTCCAGTGTCTGGCACAGACCAGATACCCTGTGAGTCAATTTCATTATCCTGGATTCAATGGCTTCATAGTGGTTATGAAAATGGCTGGCATTTTAGTCTCCTCTCTTGCCTAAAGCAGTAAATCCCGGCATCATATGGGGGAAAGAACCCTAGACAAAGAATCTCATAGATGGGAGTTTCTATGTGGTGATGCTGGGCAAGGATTACGGTGGAATTACAAAGATGTGTTGCAGTCCTGGGTTTTGGACATCCGATCCTCTAATTTAGGCCAGACAAGGCACGCTGTGGCTCCTAAGCATTCCGAGGTAAGAGTGGCTGTGGCGTGGCCACAGGAGGACCTCACTGTGGTCTAAAGTCACTATGGAAAATCTAAAGTCACAACTTCTTATGATGCCCTGACTGCCATCCGGAAAGACCAGGTGTTTTCTCAATTAGGATCATAAAATGGTAGAGATGGGAGAACATGCAGGGCTGTTTTGCAAGACTCAACCTCCTTATTTTGAGTGACCCTGAGATGCAAGCCCAAAGTCACACAGCCTATGTCAACTCCCAACCAAAACTCTCTTCTTTACGCCATATGGAACAAAGTTGTTAACAAATAGACATCAACAGCAGAGTCACCAGAAGTAATCTGACAGGGATTCATAGATGCCAATAGAAATAAAATAACAGCGCCCAAAAGCATACTTGGCATGTAATAAACACTCTATAAGAATTTGTTGAAAACCCAGATGACACTGCAAATGAAGATAAACAAATGTCCCTCTTTTTAGTTTATATCACTGTACCATCTCTATGGCTACTAGTCACATATGGCTATTTAAATTTAATTAAAATTAAATAAAATTAAAAATTGAGTCCTCAGTCAGAATAGCCACATTTCAGATGTTCAATAGCCACATGTGGCTGCTGTATAGGGTAATGCTGACTTACAGAACATTTCCTTCTCTGTAGAAAAGTCTATTGGATGGTGCAACTAAAGCTGTAAGTAAGAGGCTTCACAAGTAGTGGCTTCTACGGCCAAACAACAAGGTTAGTGAAAGATGGCGTCTCCAGCTCAGTGAAGCTCCTTCTTTAAGGACTGCCTGAAGATGTATTTCAGCTGGGAGCTTCGCCGTGCAAGTGTTTCCTGTTAACATCAAGAACGCCAAAGCCCTCTCTGCCAGCAATTTCCTGCAATGATGGTTTGTCTCATACCGTGGACTACTTAACATATTTTATATGCCTTGTAAATCTTTACAATTACATAAAATATGTGGGGTGAGCAGCTTCTAAATTGGCAAATGGCATACAGTAATAAAAACAATGAAACCAAACAATGCATGCGAGAAGACTGGCGAGAAACACAACCACACATCAGCAGTGTCTAAATTTGGGTGGTGGGGTTATGGGAACGTTCCCACTCACTGTTTACTCTTTTCCATTTTCCAAATGTACAGCTTTTATATCGAAAGAATTTATCTGAAAAGTCTATATGACAGGTGCAGCCACTTTTCCCTGTTACCAGCATTGTGACAGAATTATCTGTTCTCAAAAAAAAAATTTCCCATTTCTTTTGGTCCTAGTTCAATGTATACCACTGGTTGGCATGCGTCCAATGAGACAACATATGTAAAAGTGTGCGGGCACAGAGGTGTGGAAGCAGACTGTGGAGAAATACTGAGGAGGTGAGGCTGGCACAGCAGGCTGGGGCCAGGCCAGGCGGGCTGTGAACCCTGGTCGCAGCCCAGAGGCTCTGATGGGTGTGGACAGATGGGTGCTGCTCCAGGTGGACCCAGGAATCCTGTCTCTGTGTGATGGAGACAGGTGCAACCCTAATGGGGAGAGGACTGAAAAGACCTGCCCATTACACATGGCTCACTGCTGCCAGGTGGTCAAGTGAGCCGCATGTGATGCTCCTGCGGTTAGGGACTGCTGTGCCGTCTGTAGGGATGTGTGTCTGCACGTCACCTGAGAACATCAACACTTAAAAATAGTATTTCTAATTACAGTGTTTTTAAAAATGTAAAAATGTAGAGAAAATTAAGAAAATTCACAAATAATTATGCCATCAAGTTGCAAGTACTGTTCACATTCTGAAATTTCTCATTCCATGATTTTTTTTTAAACTTTTGTATCACTGGGATCATTATTCTAAATATCAAATTTTTATCTTTGATAAGAACATCAGAGAATTTGGATTTCTACTCTGTTGGCCCCTCCTCGGGGCCCGCTTGTAGTAACATGATTTGGTGTTTGGCCGTGGCCTACAGGTGAGGACAGTAGCCATAGGAAAGGAGCCATTTTGTGTTTTATAGGAATTGTGCTGAACCACAGAAGGGCGTTTCCTGAGGAGGCACAGGAAAAATCTCTCCAGCTTCTCTGTACCGGGGAATGCTCTATTCTCACCATGACTCAGACACCTGGCCATGACCCCTCTCTGCCCTCGTCATTGGGAAGCCAACCTGGAGGCCCCCTCACCATGTTGTGAGCCCGCTGTGGCCTCTGAGAGCAGCCCACGCCAGGCTGCTGCTGTCGCTTCCCCACCAGACTTTGCAGCCAGGCACAGGGCCTCGTTCACTGTTGCATCACCAGAGCAGGCACTGAGAGCAGGTCTAACAACCCCGAGGAGGAGGTGGCATTTGTGTCCCAATCCTGCCCGGTGTCATCAATTTTCTCTTCGCTCCCTGACACCTCCAGCCCAGCTTTCTTCATTTCCTTCCTTCCCCCTGGTGGAACTGGAATAAACGGATGCACACTCTCTTTCAGAGACACTAGGGCAGTCGTTATTTTAAAGTTTCTTTGCTGGAGGTGTCCACACCAGTATTGAAAACCGTGCGTGCCCTTCCCTGCTCTATAGGCCCCCCAATGCTCCTGCACTGAGCAGTTCTGGAGTGGGGGCTCCACCGAGGGTGCCCAAGGCCTCATCACCGCCCCACCCCACCCCACGGGAAGCAGCTCCTCCTCGGCGCCATGCTTAGCACCCACTGGGCTAGTCTTTGTGGACTTGAATCTTCCTCTCTGGCTCTTAGGCACTTTGAATGCAGCTCTGATGAGGACAAAACCAGGAACAGACAGCAAAAAGCAAGACGACAGTTTACCTGAATCCTGGTGGCTGTGCTTCAGGTAGACAGGGTCCAGTTTAAAGGCTCCTGTTAGGTCTGTTCTCTTTTTCACCCTGGTTTTGGAGAACAAATGATGGGGCTTAATGAGGAAGCTCCGCAGATGGGGCTGTGCAGCCCTTGTGTCCTGTCCCCTCTTCCACCTGGCTCAGCTCAGACACACCTGCTTCAGGACCCCTTCCTGGGACCCTAATCTGCATGCATGCCCTTGTTTATGCTCCTACCACCCCTGGCCTCACTGTAGCATGGCATTAATTTGCAGAGCTCCAAGCACCTTGGGGGGTTAATAGAAAGTAAATATTTAGTCTTTATCCCTGGCTCCTGGCACATAGCTCCCAAAACCCTTGGAATCTCTGGAGTGATAATTGTGTCTTTCATATGCCAATGAGATGACTGGTGGCTGGGGGCCCCTAGATATCTTTAGAGTCGGGGCTGGCTGCCAGGAAAACTGAGTCTTGATTAGAGGGTTGGAACTTTGAGCCCCACCCCACAATCTCCAGGAGGGGAGAGGGTCTGGAGATTGAGTTAATCGCCAATGGCCAGTGAGTTAATCAATCATACCAATTCAGTGACCCTCCATACGAGCCCCTAAATGACAAGGTTCAGAGAGCTTTGGGGTTAGTAAGCACATCAGGGTGCTGGGAGGGAGGCACACCTCAAGAGGACAGGGAAGCTCTGTGCCCCCCACCCCACCCCTATCTTGGCCTATGCATCTCTTCCACTTGGTTGTTCATTTGTATCCTTTATAACGAACCAGTCAATGTAAGGGAAGTGCTTTCCTGAGCGCTGTGAGCTGTTCTAGCAAATGGTTGAACCTGAAGGGGAGGGGTTGTGGGAAGCCCCGACTCTATAGCCAAGTTGGACAAAAGTGTGGCTAACCTGGGACCCTCTCTTTGTGACTGGCTTGTGGGATTGAGCCCTTAAACCTGGGGGTTCTGTGCCAACTGCAGGTAGTTAGTGTCAGCAGTGAGTTGTGGGGCACCAGCTGGTGTCTGGAGAGCTGGAGGACTGATGTCAGGAGAAACCCAGCAGATTAGTGTCTATTCCTCTCTGTCCTTCCAGGCCTAGCACAGCGCCTGGCCTGACGGGCCTCATAGTGTGTGTGGGATGAACAGAGGGCTAATGGTAAGAAGGCAGTGCCCGGTGCTACCACACGTCCTCAGGCTCAATCCTTTCACACCATGGAACATGGATGGTGACAGTCGTTCTGGATAACTCAGGTCAAAGCTCTCACTTGCACTGGGATTTGAGGGTCTGAGCTTTATGATAGTCGCCCCCCTCCTCATTTGGCAGCGTGGACACCATCTCAAAGCAATTCTGTGGCAAATAGAGTGTCCTAGGGACAAACTAGAGAAGAAATGTCAGTCTGACAGTAGCTTAGGCTTGAAAGCAAATACAACGTGCGAGTCCCTGAAAAATAACACCTAGTGAGCACGAAATAGGATGCCAGGGTGTGGCTTACCGATGAGGAGACAAGAAAGAGGCTAGATTTATTTATGGAAGGTAACTGAGGTGTTATTACCTCAGAGAGTTAAAAGACAGACTGCACCAGTAAGCAATAATGACTGACTGGTGCTTACTCTCGCTCTGACCTGTGGAAGAAAACGGATAGCACCTGGTGTTAGGTGTGTGTATACGGAATTTTGTCGCATCATGGGCACTGTGTGAGGAGCCACTGGAGGAATTTGCTTTGGCTCTCTGGACTAGAAAAAAACTCTGTGCTTAGCCTTAAAGAGAGGGAGACAGCAAGAGAGAAAGGGGTAGAAATGCTCATCGTTCTCAGTAGGACTTTGCCCTTGTGAATGAAGTTCACACTTGACTACTCACTGATGCCTGTCATGACCTTGGAATGGGGTTTCTTTTTTTTTTTAATTAAAAAACATTCATTGTTAGAGCCATGCAAAAAAGTATAAATAATAATGCGTCCACTCTGCTACTTATAAACCAAACTTGCCCACATAGTTCATTCTTCCATATGTGTCCCTGCCCTCCCCGCCACCCCCCCACCCAACCCCAGGCAGCCACAGGCTGCACGTGGTTTATCACTCCTACAGTGTTCTAGGCAAATTCCCAAGTAATCTGTAATATTGTTTTGCACATTTTTAAACATAACATAACATAAACATAAGTTGTTCACACAGAATGGCATCGCTCTCTGTGTATTTTTCTATAACTCGCTTTTTCTCTAGAAAATTTACTCCTGAGCTTCCACCCATTCATCCAAGTGGTTGTCATCCATTCATCCTTACTACTTCACTGGATTCCACCCCATGAACAGATCACAGCTGATCCCTTCTCCTATTGTTTCCCATTTATTGTTAGACAACCTATGCTGAGTGAACACTCCTGGTGCCTCTGGGACTCGTGTCTAGTCATGGCACAAGTCAGGGAAAGGCATGGAGTCTATGACCTGGGTGGAGGCAGTGCCGAATTAATCTCCAAGGCTGCAGCCCATGAGCTCCTGCATTCGCGTCTTGGCCAGCATTCAGTGTGGAGAGACTTTATTTTCTACAACTGACAGTGTTTTGGTGTGATTTTGATTTGCATTTCTGATTACTAATGAAGTTGAGTAACTTTGCTTTTATAGAGGCCACTCCTGTTTCCTCTTTGGTGAGAAAATTGTTGTTTATTTTTCTGTTAGGTTGTTTGTCTCTATTGTATATTGGATTGTGAAAATTCTGTCAATAGTAGGAACGCTAATCTAGAAACTTGTGGGCTGTTTCTGGGCTCTCTCTTCTTATCTCCGCCCCTCTGTGCCACGCCGGGACTATCCTGGCTCCAACAATGTTGCTTCACATGCCCGTTGATGTTGGCTGGGGCGTGATTCCCACCAAATTTTTCTTCACTATTCTCTTGGGTATTCTGGGCCCGTGTAAGTATTAGGATCAGCTTTATCAAATTCCATGAAAATATCTAGTCAGGATACTTATTAGAATTGTACTGGGGTCTGACATTGAGTTTCCCCCTCCATATAGATAACATACCACTCCATTCAGTCAGGAATTCTGGAATGGCTTCAGAAAATTATTTAATTTTCTTCATAAAAATATATACAAGTTTTTATACAATTATTCATAGTAATCCTATATCTCTTCTTGCTATTATAAAGAGTATTCTTTTTAAAAAATTACATGAACTGCTCATTATATATGTAAAACATTATATGCAACCTTAAAAAATGTTGTGTATCTAGAAATCTTACTACCTTACTAATAATAATACTTTCATTGAAGATTCTCTTTGTATTGCAGTCACATCATCTGAGAATAATGAAGTTTTACAGCTTCCATTCTGATTCTTACACTTTTATTTCTTTGTCCTCTCACAACAAGGTTAGGAGAGCACAGGGTCGAATACAAGTGGGGACAATGGCACTCCTTTTATTTTCCTGATTTTAACGGGAGTACTTCTAATATTTCACCATTGAGAACAGGTTTAGTGTAGCTTTTTGGGAGATATTTTTAATCAGATTAAGAAAGTTTGCTTCTGTTCCTATTTTACTAAAAGTTTTGTCCTAAATGGGTGTTGCATTTATCTAATGCTTTTTCTGCATCTAATAACTTCTTTCTCCTTTACTATTAACATGGTGAATGACACATAAAAATCTTCTAATATTTCTAAACCACTCAGGCATATCTGGGATAAACACATTTTGGTCATGATATACTATCTTTTTAATTTAAAACATCGTTGAATTTTATTTGCTAATGTTTCACTTAGAATTTCACCATTTAAGTTTGTGAGCTTGTCCTATAGTTTTCTTTCTCAGCTTCTCATCTGGTTTTGGAATCAAAGTTACAGTTACTTTTTTTTGTGAGGGAGGGTGTGTGTCCTCCTTGCTGTTCGCTTTGAGTTATATTCTTGATTGGACCTATAAATGCCTTGACAATTTGGTAGATCTTGCTGTTAGAAGAGTTTGGAGATTACTGCTGTGTGAAAATTTAACTATTGGCACATTGTCTTTAACAGCTGTAAGATTTTTTAGGTTTTCTATTTATTCTGGAATCAGTTTGGTAACGCGTTTTGTAGTTATTGTTATGTACATTTGTAGGCAATTTTTAGCATGATGTTATTCACAGTACTCAGTTACTATTTTTTTAAATCTCTGCAATAGCTGTGGTTAGTCCTTCCTATGTCCATTACAGTTTACCTCTGTTTGCTCCATTTTTGATCCAGCTCTCCGGAGAGCATCCATTTTACAAGGCAGGTCAAGGTCCAACATGCAGCTCTATCGATCCACTCTACCAAGTTTCTATCTTCTGTATCATTGACATCTCTTAATCTTTATTATTTCCCTCCTTCTAGTTTTGGGGAGTTTATCCTGTTGCTGTTTTCTAGCTTCATTTTCTGGCTCATTATTTTCTTGGCTCATGATTTCCTGGCTTTCATCTTTTCTGTTGAAGTCTGTCCTCTAAGTCCTACTTTAGCCACTTGCCACAAGTTCTGTTGTGGCTTTAGATTCATTCAGTTCCTGGTGTTTCCAGTTTCCCATTGTGTGTACTTTATTCATTGACTCGTGATCCAATGGGTCTGTGGTATCTGCTCTTCAATGTTTAGGTACTAGCTCTGCTTTTCCTTGTAAAGTTTAACGGTATTACAAAGAGGAAGACTTTACTTAAACAAATAAACATGTGTATACACGCATACACACATAGACACGTGCTTTCTAGGTATCAGAGTTATCTCACGCAAAATGAGCCTCATGGTGAGGAAAGTCTCTTCCTGTCACCAAATATACTCCTGAAGGATGACCCTGAGGGATAAGGGCACGGGGACTCCTGTGCTGTGTTGAAAGTATAGCTTTTTAAGTGGTCTTTTAAAAAAAATCTACAATAATGTGCATGGCTCACTGAATGAACTCTCGTTACCTCTTGGTGCCAGTAACAGCTAGAAAGCCTTCAAAATACTAAACGGCACAAGGACCAAAGTGCAAAGAAACCAAAAACATTCGTAGAAATCTGTGCACTAACACTTCTAAAACAAGTTCTGCAATCAAGTCTTACCATAGCTAGAGTGATCAAAAATCTTTCCAATTAACTGAATTAAAAAGAAAATGTAACAGAAGCATACAAAAGCTATAAAACTATTTATTAAAAATCAATTTTATCTGGGAAAAAAAATCAAGCCTCTTTTTAAAGGTAGATAAAACATGCCCTTGGTGTGTGTGGGATTTGAGGCTTGCTTTGAAGAAGATCTGGTATTAAAGAAACATTAAGGTCTGAGCAGAATGGTTTATATTTACATATAAAAGATTCAGAATACCAAATGAACAATAAAAAGCTTATGAACACAATATGAAATCATTATGAAATGTATTTACTGTGCTTGTAATGATTTCAAGTTTTAGAATCTTCAATTACCTTGTCCATTTAAATACATAAAGAATATAACCAACGTGTTTACTTTAAATTAGGGACTAACCATTGGTAAAATTTCATTAAACAAAAGAGAGACACTTCTGATTTTAAGGAATACAAAAAAGCCAGTGAGAGCAATAAAAAAAAAAAAATCCATTATATCTTTTTTGTTGTATAAGCAAAATCTTTAAACACATCTATAAAAAATTCACAATTTAGGATTGTTTGTTTGCCTGTTTTCAACTCTGAGGAGTGTGGAGGGAGGCCAGTTCTGTTCTGAAATCCAGTTCTTACAAGCATCCTTATCATCTATGTTAGGACATCTCATTTTACAGCAATAACTTCTTAGAATAACAGAATATGTACATTTGATTCCTGGATTTTCAGCACAGTGCAAAAAGCCTCTGAGTAGATTCTCAGCCTTCATTCTCTCCCCACTCCCTGTTACCATGTTGCAAAGCACTGCCGCCCTGTCCTTATATCCTCCACAAACACGCAGGCCACCCATCCTGGCCCAAGCACGCTCAGGTAGGAGAGGGATGCAGTGCAAAGAGGAGAGGGATGCTGCGGTCCATCTATTCATCCCTGGCCTTTAGGCTGTACATGCCTGGGCTAAAATACAGGACAATTTTCACCATTCAGAGAGAAAGCAGAATCAGTGACAACTTGAACAAAGTGGAACTAGAATCAGGGCCTGATTTTGCCTCATTCACACCAAAAAACAGCCCTTCATTCTCCAATTTCTTCTGTGTCCCTCTGGAACAATTTCAATGTGTTCTTTTTGCGCTCTGTCATTTGTATGTGTGTTTGTAAAACGTGTATCGCTTTGCATGCATATATTCTTAATCTGCATCCTGTGAGACACACAATCTGTTTCTGACTCTTTTTACTCAGTACTGGTGTTTTAAAACATCACCCCTATTGCCATCAAAAGTTGTATCTGTGGTTCTGGTGCAGATAGTTGTGTGCCTGTAAGCAAATTCATGAAACATCTCAGAACTCCACTTGCCTCATCCATAAAATAAGGACAACATTCCAACACCGTGTGACTGTTGCAGAGGTCAGTGGCACTGTGCCTGGTGACAAGGTGTGTGCCCTGCCCAGACCAGCTCAGCCCCAGTGTCAGTGACCTACGGAAATGGTGCTGTAAAGGGCTCTCATGAACTAATGAGACATTAAAAAGCTGTATGTTTATGTAAAAACAGCAACTTTGAAATGTGAGCAGCTTATTCAAAACAAATTTAAATCCATATGGATTCAATTACATTTAAATTTAAATTTAAATCCATTTCGTGTACAAAAATGATCTTCCACGGCTTTCCCTGTTCCAAGTTCCCTGTTGTGCCCGCCTCCACCTCAGGGTCTTTGCGTGGATTCTTCTCGAGCCTCACGTGGTCCCCTGTCAAATGCTACTTTACCCAATACGCTTTCCGGATCTCTATCTCAAACTATCAGGCAATGAATGAAGGGGCCTATGGAGGTGCCTCCCTTGCACATTCCTTTCTCCCTTCCAGCTCCCAGGTGCTCCCCAAACTTCTCACCTGACTCTCTCCCCTCTCCCTTCCCAAACTCTTCCCTCGAACCTCCTCATCACGTGGACCTCAATCTGCATTGGCCCAAATTTGATTTTATTTCATTCCTCGATTGACTTTGCGTCTATTTTATTTATTGGAAACACTGTCCCACGGCTGAGACTCCTAGAGCCTAGGGACAATATTGCTCAGTTTCAGCTCCTCTGTGCTCAAAACCAAATCCCTTCCAGTTAACCTGTACCCTTTCCTCCTCCTTGTTCTTGGTCTGGATGGGGCTGCCCCCAATGCAGATACTGTTCCACGAGCAACACCGCGGTGCAATTCCTGGTTGGGGTCTGGACGAGTGTGGGAGGGCCTAGTGCCCATGGCCTCTGCAGGCAGGGCAATGCTCCAAAAGGTGCCTGCATGAAGGGAGAGCAACTTCTCTGTAGTGAGAACAAATGGGGAATGGCTGTTAGGGTGTAGTGAGATCAAAAGAAAACAGAAGTGCATGAGAATCAATGAAACCAGAAGTAGATGGCATAATGAAGATTATAGGCTTTAAAATAAGCTGACCTGGTTTAAATCCCTAAATATTAGCCTTAAGGCTTTAACTAATCATTCCTTATGAGCATTATTATGGGCTGGACTATGTCCCTTCCTCAAAATTACCGTGTTGAAGGTCTGAAGTCCTGACCCCCAGGGCCTCACAGTGTGACTGTATGTGAGATAGGGTCTATAAAGAAGTGATTAAGTTAAAATGAAGCTGTATGTCTAGGCTCTAATCCAATATGACTGGTGTCCTTAGAAGATGAGGAAATTTGGTCACAGGCCTGTCAGAGGGACGACCTCATGAAGACACAGGGAGGAAACAGCTCTCTACACGCCAAGGAGAGAGGCCTCAGGCAGGAGAAACCAACACTGCTGACGCCTTGCTCTCAGACCTCCAGCCTCCAGAATTGTGAGGAAATAAGTCTGCGTGGTTTAAGCCGCCCAGTACGAGGCACTTTGTTAGAGCAGCTCCAGCAAGGTAATATAGGCGCCGTGCCAAAAACCGTAGACATGAGCAGTTATGTTAAAACGCAAATCCTTCAAAATGAAACTCCATCAGTCGATATTCAGGTTGTCTTTATGACATCTTGTGACAAACCCTTGGGTTTGGGAGAGACCTGATTTTCCCAGATGCATAAAATCACCCCGAAATCCTTGACAGTTATTCTGTCCGGGACCCCCACTAGCTCAAGAGAGAGAAAACACATTCTCTACTATAGTTGAGTTTTACTCATTGATTTATTTAGCCTTTCAAACCCTCAGGCAGGTAGGAATCTCCTCAAATATTGACAACCCCCTCATTTTCCACCCCCAGGGGGTAACTAATTGTCCTTCTCTGTGGCAAAATTTTAAATACTGGGGGCTGCTCTTGCGTCTTATGGCTTTATGGTTATTCTTTTCTACAGGCTAATAACCCTCAGTCCTCTTTCCATTCTCCAAATGACATGACCTCATCCCTGTATTATCTTCATCTCTTCTATATGTCACATTTACTTTGTCAAATTTCCCTTTACAGGTGGTGCCTGATCTGAACACAGGCTGCCAAGGAGGACCCATCTGAGACAGATTAAAACACAGCCACCAGTTCTCATTGCATCTGCTCCTGAGTGTCAGTGGCAGCCACGTCATGCTCCGTGAAAAAGACTGTTTTCTCTCATCCTTCACTTACTCACCGACTTTTTGGACCCAAGTGCAGAATGCTACATTTATTATATTCATCCTTATCATATCTCAACATTTGGATTATAGATGAGTGCTGCAAAATACTTTTAGTCCCTGATAGCTTTAGTTTCCCCATCTGTAGGAGGCGGGCAGTAATGTAAGTGCCCTGCTCGCGGGGCTGCTGCGGGAGTCCAGTGACTTACATTAAATAAAGGCCGTTGAAGGGAGCCCACGCTCACCAGTGCTCATTAAACATCTATTTCTGATGTTATGTTTCACCCAGGTAATGAGTAAAACATCACGGCACACCACAAGCCCTCCTCTGGTCAGCACTGCCCAGCGGCACTCCGGTCACAGTCACTCCATCGCCCAACAGCCCTCAGCTCCTCTGTCCAGGCCGGGTTTGTAGCTTTCTCTGCCAAATGCCTCACTGACAACTAAGGCTGCTGTGTGACCTGCAGGAGGAGGCTAGCCACCCCTCACCAAACAAAGGCCTCCCAGACCCCTGCTGGCTCTGTGCTGGGACCCCTGCTGGCTCTCTGAAGGGCTGGCTCCTCAGGATCCACAATCTGACCTCCAACTCCTTTAAGTCTTTGCAACTGACCAAATACCCAGCAGAACAGAACTGTGTTTCAATCCAAATTAAATTTTGATTTAAATTAAAGTTTGAAAAAGGGGACTTTTTGACATACTGTATGAACTATCCTTAAAGTGTTCCACTTTAGGTAAAATAGACAAACACAACCCAAAGAGTAAAATAGAATATTAATGTCCATAGAAGCTATAGTTTTTATAAATCCTTATTAGTATTTCAGATAAAGTTAAGTCTGAAACGCCCATATTGGTTTTGAAATCGTGTCAAAAGTTTGGGGGGGCCGGCCCGGTGGCGCAGTGGTTAAGTGTGCACGTTCCACTTCGGCAGCCTGGGGTTCGCCAGTTCAGATCCCGGGTGCAGACATAGCACTGCTTGGCAAGCCATGCTGTGGTAGGCGTCCCACATATAAAGTAGAGGAAGATGGGCATGGATGTTAGCTCAGGGCCAGTCTTCCTCAGCAAAACGAGGAGGATTGGCAGCAGTTAGCGCAGAGCTAATCTTCATTAAAAAAAAAAAAAAACTTTAGGGAAAAGAGAAACAAAGAACCTGATTTGAACAGAAGTAAAGCACTGGGGATGTGGTTTCTCTTGAGAGAAACTAGTTCAAGGGCAAACTGACTATCTGGTAAAGGGGAGAACTGACTGGAGCTGCATTGTGTGGGAGCTGCTCTCCTAACCGTTCTAAGGTGAAAAACCATTCATTTTATTACATACTGAATGACTTTGCGCAAAATTCATGCAAAGCCTCCTGGTCCTAAGGTTGATTAACCAACTTCTTACTCTAATAAACTCAAAAGAACTAGTTTCCAGTGTTTCATGCAACTCCCAGTCATTTCTTGAAGCATCACCTATGTAATGGAACATCATCCACTTTAATTTTGGAATTCTTTTTCTTGCTCGAAATATAACCAACATGAGGATGGCACTGCTAGTAGGAATTCCCAGAGAACTTCTTAGCAAATGGAATTACTTTTATTTTTCCTTAGCAAATGCTTTTAAGCGTTTACACTTAGATTCATTACACATCTAAGAATAAAAACCCAGAAGCAGCTGAATTAGAAATACGTGCTGAAATTCCTTTGCACTGTTTTTGTTAATGCTAGATAAGCGCTCCTCCAGCTCCACTCCTCCCCTGCCGGCTTCTGTCATAGCAGCCACCACTCTAAAGGGCGGGCGGGGACAGGGTGATTACGCTCTGATGCAGAGGGAAACTTACCACATGGCAGAGCAGTCAAAATTCACCAAAAGCCATTTGTGAGGATTAAAGTTAAATGAATCCGCAAACTGCCAAGGAACAATAAAAACAAAAGGAAGACATTTTAGTTGTTAACGTTCAGTTATAAAACGAGACGCCATACATAACAATTAACAGTTTGTATTCTCAAAGGAAAAACAGCAAGGCCATGCAGAGGAGAAGAAAGTACCTGAAACGGAGAGGGTTGGCATGGCGTCAAGAGAGAAGGTCTGGGCTCGGGAGCTGTCTTGGGCGGCCAGTCATCTGACCTCTCTGAGCCTCTTTTTATTCATTTTCAAGTGGGAATAGCAAATCATTCCCCTGAAACATGAAGCTAATATAGACCTGATTTGGGGGTGAAACACAGGAGGAGGAAGCTTAGGAGTCAGAGAATTGGGGGTTTGCATCCCCGTTCAACTGTTTACTCCACGTGGCCTGGAGTGGGAATATCTGCTTTGTGGAGAAGTAGTGAAATCGCAGCCACCAGCTCCTCAGCACAGCTCCTGAGGCTCAGTAAACGCTCCAGGGCAAATGTTGCTGATTTGTGCTTGTAAAGCCAGCCAGGGGGTGGCCCCAGGGAACGAAGTGAGGAAAACATGGCTACTGACTTCCAGCAGCTCCTGGTTAAGTGGCGAGATCTGACAAGAAAGCAGCCATCAGGATGCAATATGAATCACCTCAGATAGTGCAGTAAACCAGGCTCCCTGCACAGAGGAGGAGGGGAGGGACTCGCAGAGTCGGGCTGGACTGTGCCTCGGAGGTGCCCTGAGAGGGGCATCCCGCGGAACTCGGCAAGGCTTGAGGTGCACTGGACATGAAGGCCACTGGGTCAAGGCCTGACGGGCCTGACTGGCAGGCTTTGAGACACAGCACCAGGCACCCAGGTGATGCCCAGAAAGCATTTGTCAGGAAAGTGAAATAAAGAATCTCATTCTTTCCTTGCTGGAAAGGGCGTGGGGTTTGGAGTAAGCCCCAGATGCTGGCCTTAGTTCTTGCACTGTCTTGCTGAGGATTCCCAGAGCAGTAATTCTCCAGGAACTTGTAAATGAGGGATTGGAATGAGACAGTATCTAGGGCCTTCCTATTATGTGTGTGTTAATCCTAGTCTGGTGTAGGGCTATCACATTCTAATCAAGGGATGCATTTTGAAGACCTTGGATAATTCAGAATCCCAAAGCATAATCCAAGACCAATGTAACAAAGGATGTGGGAGTTTTCTGTCACCCATGAGGTGATACCCAGCCCCTGGCAGCAACATGAACACAGTTCACAGTTCCCTGGGCTCTCCTGCTTTGAAACTGTGTGAGTCCCAACTCATTTCTAATTGGGAAAATTCATAATTCTACTTTTCCTCATAAAATGAGATGTTAATATTTTATATTACATACTTTCAAATTTACATAGTCTAAAGTCACCTAAAATGTATCCCCACTAGATTTCAACTATTAAACTATTTGGAATAATCAGGATTTTGATTCACAGGTACGATGTCTGGAAATTGTACTGATTTGACCTATGAAACACTTTATGCCCACATTTCTTTCAACTTCTTGAACTCTCGAAGTTCTCAGAATATATGTATCATCACAAACAATGAGAAAGTGAAAATTTCATAACTAACCTACAGTAATCAGGGTCACCTCAGGTTTCATTTAATTGATTGGTTTTTAAACCAACATTGACATAATAGATGAATAACTCTTCTCATTTACCTAAATATTTTCTTTATTTTTAAAGGCAATATCCAAGTTCACTGTACTCCTGACAGTAACAGCTTCCCCTTTTGGATGCCAATTGGTAACAACCATAAACAACTGGCTCTAGCATCGCATCAGTTTTAGGTGCTACCATATTTTCAAGCAGAGAATAAGAGATTTCAACTACCAAGAGTGGCCAAGGAGGGTACTCTGCATGCTCACTGAGCTGTCATAAAGGGTGAGTTCTTGCATTTTTCAAAATGCATGTCCTGGTTTCCCTCTGGCTGATGAACAGGATCCAGGCCCACCCGGAGGCCCATGGATACTGCCACATGGATAAATACATAATTGAACCAGAAATAAAGGCAGCAGCCATTACAAGGCCCCAGTCTGACTGCATATCGTAATGGGAAAATTCGACATCTTCCCAAGGCTTTGTGATGCCTCTTCTCTACTTGGTTCCCAGGGATGAGCACTAAGGAGGCACTCAGAGGCCAGGTGAGCATCAGCAGGGAGTCACTTGGTCAGCAGATGACAACCTCACAACCCACTCTGGGGGAGCAGATTCATTTCCTTCCAGGTTTCAATAAAAGTAATTTTGAGAAAGAGACAGGAAATTACAAGTTTCATTTGCTGATAAAAGGAAACAAAAGGTGAAAGAAGCGCTTTGTTTGTTGGGAATTTTATTAATTCCCTCCTAGGGGCTGGTCTGTTTAAACATCTTTTATTACCAGCTGCACTGTATTCCTCCTGCTGACAGAGAGGAAGGCTCTTATCTCCAGGGAGGGCCAGGACAGGATATTGCAACCCCTTATCTGACCAGCTGAGCAGCAAGGCCCTTGCCAGGCAGGGAGCCAGGCAGGGAATGAGACAGCAATAATGGGGAAAATGGGAACAACTCATTGTTGGGCATGAAATCCTGTCTGCTGCTGATAGGATCTCGCTGCAGTGCTGGCCTCTGTGGTGGTCTGACAATTAGGCACCCCCCGTGAAAGGTGAAACCTCAAGGTGGAGGCTCCTGGGGATGAGAAGACTCATAGTAGGAAAAGATGGTGAAATCCTAAACCTGATACTCAGAATTAGAAGGAACATCTGGCCCCGACCACATCCTGGGAAGAGGCCAAATCCCGATGAACACTTTGCCCCTTCTTCCCCTGAGACTACAGGGGCAGACATTCCTAGTGATATGGATCGTCTCCAGAACAAAAGGTATTTTATATGATACAGAGATTTATTCTTCATTTCCAGCACCAACCACCCACAAAACCAGCTATCAGCAGTGCACTGCAGAGGGCTGGGGTGAGCTCCGGGATCAGAACCCCTCACACACTGCACCCCCACCCACTGTTTACAGAGGCTTCTGGAAGCTCCATTTACCCCATCCCCCAGGATTGATCTAAGCCTGATCAATAAGTAATCACTGAATGAATGAGTGAATAAATGAAAGAATATGATGGAGATATAAACCAGAATGCCACTTTATTTATTACTAGAAAGGGGATTATTCTTTCTAAAGATGGGAACATTTGTATTCTGTATCACTGACCCCCACTTTTCTGGTATTACGGTATTATGAGAATCCAAATTAGTAATTAGAAGGTTGATTGGCAGCGTGACATGAGAATGGAGAGAGGTTTTGAGGGGCAGTCTCTGCAGGTCATGCAGAGAAAAATAGTAATAGCATCTAATGCATGCACAGTGCTTACTGTGTGCCAGACGCTGTTTTTAAGCCCTTTAAATATTAACTCCTCTGATCTTTACAACAACCCCTTGAAAGCAGACGTCACTACTAAATCCATTTTGTGAAGTGTAGAGAGGATATGAACCTGCCCAGGGGGACACAGCTAGTCCTACAGTAAAGCTGGGATTCTGGAAGGCAGTCTAATGCCAAAGACTGCGCCCTTAATCCCTGGACCACGCAGGAGCGAGGTCTCATGAAATCCCTTGCCTCTGAGCACAAAGCCAATGCCAGGGCTCTCTGACTCACTATCTCCTTCCAAAATCTGCCTCTCTGGATTCTTTGTTGCACTTATATCTGAGTTCCTGGCGAGGAGGAACTTCCTGCCCCATGTGCTGCTTCAACAATAAAATCCAGCCTGAGTCTGAAATAATACATCAGAGCACATTCATAAGGTCATTTCTTTGTCTTAAATGTGCACCATGTGCATTCGGCACCCCTGTGGAAAAGCAGAGTACGGGGCGATAATTTTGATTGTTTGTTATTTCTCAAAAGAAACAAATGTTTCAGTTGGCATTACAGGCCACATTTTACAAATTCTGCAAGTGGCCTAGGACATTTGAATGTGTTGGTAGCTGCTCAGTCAATATTGGTTTGGTGAATATCACATTCAGTTGCATGGTCAAAACATGGCTTTCATACTGAACCAGATTATATGGCATTGCAGCTCAGAATTTTAAATTACTCCTCAATCTGAAATGCAGTAATATTTTATTTTGTTCCTAAATATTTTCCCACAGTTTTACAAGCTAAAATCTATCCTGTCATGACAGCTCTGCGCAGGATTTGTGCAGACTGGAAAATAGCTGTAAATGTCAGATGTATTTCAAGAAGACAAGCTGTATGACCAGGAAGTTTCTCAACCTCTGTCATAAGGAGGTGTAATTTCTAATAATCACTGAAACTGGTTTGAAAATAATTTGCTGAAACAAACCACAACGGTGAAAAATTGCATATCACATCTTTATAAGAAGAAGTCACTGATAACATAGTGCTTTTACTAAAATGATCTTATAAAAGAGCACACCCACCTCTACACCATTGAGAAGAGGCCGGAATTCAGGGCAGATGAAGGCGCTGCCTGCATAGGCAGCATCAATGTGCAGCCACACGTCCTCCTTGATACCTAAAGTCCAGAAGAGACTTGTGAGTTCTCAAGTGGATGCCCTGGTCACATGGGGTCTGACAACTAGCCTTGTCCCATCCCAGTGCCCTTCTTGTATGTAGTCTATCAAGAGCATTGCTTGGCCTGATTTCTGGATCCCTAACAGGCTCCTCTGTTCTGAAGGCAATGAAGCTGAGGGCAGAGGTCATGTGCTGCTGGCCCTGGATGATGCCTGGCACAGACCCGGTGCTCAGTGAATGCATGGAAGGTGAGGGAAATTGAGCAATTGCCCCTGATTCTTCAGGCTGCTCCTCTGTTCGGCACAGCTCTAAGGGACCAGCACACTCTAACCCCTGCAGGCTTATTTGCCTGCATTATACCCCAGTTACATCACCTTTCTCTGCTGTCCCCCAACTCACCCACCTGGAATTTTCTTCCAGCTTCTCTCGGCTCACCTGTTCCAGAGGCCTTCCCCACAAACATCACTTGAGGAAGGTTCTAGTAGACAACCCACACTGATCTCCATCTGCCCCACTCCATCCCCACGTGAAGTGAAGTCATTTATTTCACACGTTCTGAAATCATCCCTGGCTCCTTCTGCGCATAGGATTTTTGTTTTCCAGTTGTACCAGATGGCCTTGCAGGAAGGGACCGAGTCTTACTTTCGAAGTGGAATAGTGTCCTGTTTAAATGCACTCCCTCAATTCGAACATATCTCAGTTCAGCAACTGCCTCCAATCGCCCAGCAACCATAAGACCTTATCTCCTTTCTCTAAGCCTCATTCTCCTCCCAGGCAAAGGGAGAGGAAAATAGCACTCATATAACCCCCATGAGGGATCAAGGAGAGAACCATCCTAATGCTCCCATCACGACACCAACACAGAGTTAACGAGAAGTGCACGGGATCATCATGGTTACTCCCTTCCTCAGTTAAGTGCCCACTTAACATGGGCATGAAATATGCAAGCACATTGGAGAGGGAACGGGGTCCTTCCCTTACAGGTGAGGATACTGCCCCAGGAGCACTGGGTGAAGGCCACTTGCGGGGATCTGTGGGGATCAGTCAGCACCTGCCAAGGGCCTTTGTGCTGATTGATGGGCTCACGGTACACTTTTTCATACACGATGCGGGTTAATCACACATGATGCTATGAGGAGTGATGAGCAATTCTTAGCTCTGCTGATAAAACACAGAAGAGGAATTTCAAAGCCTTGATTCAGTTTGATCTTCAGGATTGAAGGGATTAAAGGTTAGATGGAGATCAAATGTGTCCAAGCACATGTGCTATTGCCACAGAAGACCATGGTTCAGTGATGTCGAGCAACCTGAAGAATGTTTTATGGGCAAAGGGGGTCTGGGTTCATCACCTCATGTGGACCAGCCTCACTGGGGGCCTGCAGAGCCCCACAAGGATGCAGCCGTGAACCAGAAAGAGCACAAGCCTTAGTATGATATGGAGTGTCTCCTTGAAAACAACACAACAACTACTGTTGCTATGGCTCAGAAACGGTGTGGTCAAGAGAAACTTCAGATTCAGATGGGCATAAATCTCAAAGCAAGTCTGTGCTCTCCATGGCACTGTTTGGGCAGTCCCAACATCGCTGGTGAGGGAGCCCCATTTTCTGTCAGAGGAGCTTTGATGGAGTTTGAGATGCCCGTGTCTGTATTCAGTTCAGGCTGTGGGATGAAGGGCTGAGGCAGAGCAGGATCCCAGGGTCTGAACGCACAGAGGACTCACGAAAGACACAAGCCATGAGGGCGGGACGAGACGGACAGAATGGAGAAGCTGCAGACAGGCCTGTCTTTCTCCCTCACACCTATGTCCTCCTCCCTCAGCCACCACCCTTATGAGGGAACGTTTGTTTCAAAAGACAGTAAAAACCATAACCATCAACATTACCCGGGCCTCCTCCAGGACAGACAGAGGGGAGAAGATCTGGCCCAAACCCCAGGAGGGGGCCAGAATGATGCCATGCCTCAATTCTCCGTCACTCCAGAGTGCATGGCAGACTCGGGGAGGGGGTGGTGGGTAGGGAAGGAGGCCCCAGAGGAAGGTGTGCGGTGAAGAATTAACTTTATCAGGGCCAGCCTGGTGGTGTGGTCGTTAAGATCACACACTCCACTTTGGCAGCCCAGGGTTCATGAGTTCAGATCCTGGGCATGGGCCGACACTCTGCTCATCAAGCCATGCTGTGGTACCATCCCACATATAAAACAGAGGAAGATTAGTACAGATGTTAGCTCTGGGACAATCTTCCTCAGGCAAAAAGAGGAAGATTGGCAACGAATGTTAGCTCAGGGCCAATCTGCCTCACCACAAAACCAAAAAGAACCAAAAAGAATTAACTTTATTCCAAAAGAAGCCTGGCCTTTGCCATCAGCTCCTGGGAGGTGACCTCTAAGCCCTGGAATGCCCTGCCTGGGTCTTTGGCCCACAGACAGCGTAACAACAAGATTTACGATGGGGGCTTTGGGCCACGCCACGTCACTTCTGACTTCTGGAGGAACTAGAGACTACAGGCATCAGCCAGACCTCAGAAAGGGCTGGAGACTGAAGGGCAGCCATGTGGTTAGTGTGTGACTGAGCCCAATACAACTCTGGATGCTGAAGGCTTGGGCGAGCTTCTGTGGCAGGGAGGTGCCCACTCCATGCGTGTCATCATGCATCTTGGCTGGGGGAGTTAGCCAGCCATGAGCCCCTGGGAGAGGATGACCAGAAGCTCTGAGTTTGGGCCCCTCCCACACTCCACGTGACTCCTCCCTGTAATAAAGTGTAACCATGAACATGCTTTTAGGGAGCTCTGTGAGTCCTTCCTGTGGATTATCAAACCTGAGCCTGGTTTTGGGAACCTCTGAACTTGGGATTGGCATCAGAAGCAAGGGTGGTCTTTGAGGGACTGGGTTCCCTCTGACCATTTGGTTGGCCTAGAATTCCCGCAGAAGGAACTTACAGATGCTCATGGAGAGTAGACTCCAATTGGGCTTCTCTCCTTTCCACAGGGGCGTAAAAGCCATTGTCACCACCTCTGCATCTTGTGTGTCACACGTGATCCACCGACAGCACGACCTGCCTTCGGGGCCTTCTGCATATGCAGGTGTCTCTAGCAGTCAGGCAGGCACTGAGACCCCAAGGCCAGAGCACAGGAGTTGCATGCCCCAGGACAAGGACAACAAGGTCAACAAGGTCAACTGAGGCGAGGCCGCAACAGGGAAGGGGCAGCCTCCACACCTCTCCTGGTACCAGTTTCCTTACAAGGCTTGCAGGAACAGTAGTGGCCCGGGCTCACTGCCCCATCTGCTGCATCCCCCTCCCAGCCATCCTGGTGCTGCAGCCGGATGCGGCTTTGGCCGCCTGGCCCGCCCTGCGCTCCCTTTCTCACTCCCCGGGACCCCTGCCCTCAGCTCCCCTCTTTCACACCTCCCACCTGTCTGCCTTCAACTCTCTGCTTTCTGTGTCTCATTGTCTTCTCAATAAAACCTGCAGGGAAATTCAACTGATCAGTCCAAGTGAACCAATCGAAACAGTCTGTCTGGCTGATCATTTTAAAAGGAGCTAAAAAGAAAATGCCTTTCCTAAAGCAGCAGTTTAGAGAAAACCATCTTTTGATGTGTCCTCTTTGTCAAATTCTGGTGGATGAATAAGTTATCTGAATTATTTTAACGTTTATTCTAATCATACTGTAGAACAAGGTCACCTCAGGATCCCAGAACAGTTCTGTTTGAAGTTGAAGAACGCTAAATATGTGGTGATAGTCAAGTAAATGGTGTCAGAGGAGGGGAAGTAGGTAAAAAAGTGCTTGCTATCAATGGGTAGTAATAGCGTCTCAATAATAAACACAGTAATCAAAATTCCCCTCAGCTATGAACTTCGGCAGTGAATGGAAGAGTTTGGGCATTCACCCGCGTGAGCTCCCTCAGCCAGCCCCAGAGCAGCCTCTGTGATTGGCACCAGACACATCACAAATCAAGCTCTGCCCACAGCCCCTAGACCGGGAGCAGAGGGAGCTCCAGGACAGCAGAACAGCCTGTGCTGGGTCCCCTCTGTGAGCCGTGAACGACAGGTGCATCCGGCTGGCTGTCATCTCTCCAGGCCAGCAGGCGGCCAGCCCTGGGGCTCCTGGGACCACAGGGCCATGTGGGTTCTGCCTTGCAGAAGACTCAGCCCTCTAAATCTGATAGTGCCGGGAATTACATCAGCCAACCACTGTCCAGGACATCCCGTTCTGAGCCCGACATCTGAGTCAGGCGGGCTCCAAGCGACTTGGCCCAGCTGACAAGTGCTTGCAGCTGACGAGGCCAACGCCGTGGCTGGAGTCCTGAGTCGGCCATTTCTGTCCCTTGTCCCCGGCTCCAAGCCATGCACAACTGCCTTCTGCCAGCTGTTCTTACAGATGTCTGCCACAGGTCATAAATGGTGGAGCAAAAACCTGTGGGTGAATGGGCAAGACTACACCTGCAGCCACTTAGCAGGGCTGGTCACAGACACCACCTTTTGTCCACCACCTTTGTCTCACACACTTTCCATGCATTAACTCATCCTCTAAAGAGCCCTGTGAGGGAAATGTTTCATTTTACAACTACAAGCATTGTTTTCCTCTCCAATTATAGATGGGGAAACGAAGCTCAGCACTGAAGGCACGTGGCTTTAAGTGTTGGGCCAGGGCTGTCACCTCAAGGCCCTCAGGATGGGACAAGAGGGTCTGCTCCCCTAAGTGTGACCACAGGCAGATCCCAGGTTAGGAGAGGCGAGAAACGTGCCAGGGTTATGCAGACGGGGCAGTGAGTTCCCATGATATCTGGCCCAAGCCACGGGTATGCCGTCTGAGGGACTGAACGGTCTTCGTGTGACACTCAGACCGTTCAGATGATCAGCTCCACCATCTCTGTGGCAGCAGCTGTGGGAGTGGAGCATGCTCACTCCCTGAGGGGCAGAGAAAGGGGAGGTCCGTGAGCTGGTGCCCCTGCCCAAGGAGAGGTCTCCCGTCACAGAAACCCCTCCCGGGCCTGCTGGGTTCCCAGAGCCACATGTTAGAGGGGGAAATTTAGAAATGTGGCTACTTATCCATGGTCTATCTTTTGAAAACTTTGAGTTCTCATCTCTGTGAGAAAACCTAAGGGCTCTAAGTATGGGAGGAGGTGAGAGAGGCCCAGGGAAACACATAGAGCACAGACAGTCAGGTTTTTACATTGATTCGCTTAGTCACTTTAAGCAATTTGCTTAACTACATTCACCAATTCCAAAAAGGCTAAAAATGATATGCCAGAAGATTTAATTTTAGGATAGCTAGTTCTCACGTGGTGCATATACACCACCCTTGTGTGAGGGTGCTTGCTCCAAGAGTCTGAAGAGCTTATTCTCCTCGACGGGGCAACAAAGCCTTGAAAACTGATATCACTGTCCGATGTATATTGCTGGGACAGTTTTTTCTTCTGGCATGTCAGTCTAGCTAAGCTCAGCTCTTGTCCAATTAGCCCAAAGAGTCTGCAAAGATCAAGCTAATGAGGTTTGTGTTACTGCAAATACAAGGAGAGTTTGGCAAACCAGTGTAATATTAAGTTTTATGATGTTAATATTATATTTTTATTAACATATAAATATATTATTATATAGTAATATATTTTATATTACGGTATGTAATATGCTATAATGTTACTATTACAGAAGAGGAGACCCCAAAAAGGAAGATCTACGAAGTTCCTACATATTAAGAACATTCTCCAAAAGAAAATTTAATTTGATACTTACAGATAGGACCCACTTCTAAGAGATTATCAAACGAGCAGCAAGATGTGGTCCCCAGTGTAGCCACCACCTGTGGAGTGAAAAACAGACCTCCTTTCAGCTCCCACTTCTTAGTCAGTCCCGTAACCTCCATGTGCACAGCCACTGCCCCCAGGGGATCCCACAGACTCTAATGTGGTGCTCGATGCAGTCTGCTAGATGAAGATGGAAACCTATGAAGGCACATTGCATCTTTGCATGGAAGCATCTGCACAGGTGGAGAGAAACAGACCTGCCGACAGAAGTCTAGGCTGTGGTTAGAAACGGCATTTGCACAAGATTTCCTGTGGTGTTGGGGGGCAAAACCGAAGCCCCTGACCACATGGACAGTATTTCCTGTGCTCTGTTTTATTCACAGTACAAATAGTGACTATAAGAATATCATTCCTTCCATCAAGTAGAAAGTCTGTATTTTTTCCTTTGGGGGGTATGTGTGTGTGTGTGCATGTGGGCATGTGTGCAGAGTGCAGAGCAAGCACACCGGCAGTAACATGCATGCCAGCAGGGCTGGTGCTGCTCAAGACACTGTGGGATGCACTTCTAGAACTGCATCTGGGGTCAGTTCAGAGCCACCCCAGGAGTTTGCCCTGGGGTATCACCCTCTAGCTTTCATCTGCTGCCTTTCTTTCTCTGAACCATACTGTTCCCAAAGATTAACTCCAACCCTCAAAAGATGAAGATTGCTCTCCTAGGGAGATTCATGAGAAAGCCCCACCAAGGCTGAAAATAGCTCTTAAAGGAGTGTTCCAAGAAGGCGTTCCACGCTGTTGGCCACACAACTGGGAACTGTGGCCCAGAATTCCAGGGCCTGTTCTTGCTCTCTGAGTACCTTGTAGCGCTGTGATAACACGTGCACAACCTGACGTCTCATTCCCACACACAAGGCTATCTCTCCCTCTAGATGCATGAAGCTCTTGAAACCAGGGTCCGCATCTTATTTCTTTATATTGCTAGGAATTTGCACTTTGCTGGACGTGGAACAGGTGCTGAAACATATGTGCTGAATTCAAACTCTCTCCAAATGATAGAAAAGTCCATTACATTTACAAAACCAAAGAGCCTAATTGATTTGCTTGCTGAGCGCTGTCCGGATAATGAAATTTCTCCTTTGAAGTGATGACTGTGAAATTTCATTCAATCTGTTTATCTTTCTTTTTTCGAAGACTGGCACTTGCACTAACATCTGTTGCCAATCTTTTTTTTATCTTCTTCTTCTTCTTCTTCTCCCCAAAGCCCCCCAGCATACAGTTGTACATTCTAGTAGTAGGTCCTTCTGGCTCTGCTATGTGGGGTGCCGCCTCAGCATGGCTTCATGAGCAGTGCCATGTCTGTGCCCAGGATCTGAACAGGCAAAACCTTAGGCCGCTGAAGCAGAGCACATGAACTTAACCACTCAGCCCCAGGGTCAGCCCCCAATCTGTATATCTTTATTGAGCCCTCACTAAGACTCCACGTAACCAACGTTATGTGTCCTGAGAATAGAGATGGACAGGTGAGAGACTCACTTAATCTAGTAAACTTGAGAACTGGGTTGGAGGCCTTTGTGGTTCCATTTCATCTATGATCAACTGCCTTTGACCTGAAAACGAAATGCGTCTCTCAGAGACAGTCAAGTGTTCTTGCCAAGGAAGCATTGTGTCTGCCCTATGGAAGGGTCAGTTGATGGGCTCTGGCTCTCTGCTCACACAGTTGCCTGGATTGGAGAGTGGTCCTGCTCGGGGACCAGAGTTGTCCCCTGCCCAGTGGCAGGAAGTGGTTCCAAAGCAGGTCCGAGCTGCACTCTGGCAGGACTCATGTATCAGTGGTGTGTGACCAAGGGGAGTCAGGCCCCCAAAGGGATTACTTTCAGCATCAGCAGGAGCAGAGTGTTTTAAAATGTTTTATTCTTATTCAGGCATGGTGAGGTCAATAGATCAGGAGACTATTGCCATTGAAGAGATAGCATGTTGTGCTCACAGTTTCCAAGAGGAGGTGGCATACGGTGCCATGCAGGGCCACATGGGGAATCACCAGGGTAGGTCAGGAGGCAGAGGGAGTGAGGGGAGAATGTAGGCAAGAGACTTGATTGGAGTTTCTGCAGAAAGGAATAGGTGAGGCAGGGTAAGCAGGCTTAAGACCGGCTAGAATTATTTTAGGGGGCTGTGGGGTGTGGGGCTGTCCCTGGTTGTCTGACACCTACCTTGGGATGATCGGGGCAGGTGGGTAGTGGCCTAGAGTGTAAGAGCCTGATATAGGAGGCAGATGGGCCATGTGGCCTCTGGATTGCTTGGTTCACATATGAAAGGCTCACCTGTAGGCAAGTCCTTTACTAACTCTAGGAATGGGCTAGCCCTGGGAGGCGCAGTCCCTCCAGCCTCCTCAGCAAAGCTCCTAAGATGTCAAAGCATCAGAAACACAGAAAATAAAAAGGCATGATGAATGCACAGACATTTAAGCCAAGCACTTGGGACAAAAAGAGCTGGCTTGGAGGCCCAGCTCTGCCTCATGTTGGCATCTCACTGGGTTTCAGATTTCTCATAAGCAGCACAAATGCACTGCATCTGGGCCCTGCCCATTCTATGAGGTCTCAGCAGGTTTAGATGCTCCACACCCAATGCCCTCTGTGGCGCTCTCAGCACCCCTCGTCACCTCTGTGTGTGCCCCCCCCATTTCAAGCTTCAAGCATTCTCCACTCTTGCTTCATTTTGACAAGATGAGTCACTGAGTAAGAATTCAAGTCAGTGTGCTATTTTTCTCAGGTATTTGCATTTCTTCCTGATACATAACTAAATACTAAAGTGCTTTGTCTACGGCGCCTGGCTTACTGGGTAGAGCATGGGACTGTTAAGATGCTTTGTCTATGTTATTAAAAGAAGACTAAAAATTATGTAGTTTAGAAAAACTACAGGATGATTCACTTATCTTAATATTGCTTGAAATTTGTTTTCTCAATTTTCAGAGTCTCTTAGGAACAATGTATCTGTAGTTCAGCAATTCCTTCAGTTTCATCTCATTTTCCTCAGTTAAATTCTAATTGAATTAAATGCAATAACTTCTGATTTTCAAATTACATATATAGTAAATATCCTCTTGTTTGAATTATTTTCTATCTATTAAAGTGCACACAGAAGAGCGTCTAGAATGATGTTCACCAAATATTAATACTGCTTATCTCTTAAGATGAGATGTTGGTTAATATAAACCTTTATTCTTAGAGTTTTACATGATTATCGATGTTTTTGTTCTGAGCATGGAAAATTTTTGTAAAAACAATAAAATCCTGCCTTGTCCTGGGAGTGGCCTCCATTGAGAATAAGAATAGGGGACATTCTCTGAGTGCCCGCTCTGCCAGGCCTGGCACCGGGAGCTTGGCAGATGTTATATTCAATCGTCACAACAACCTTATGAGTTGGATATGTGTGTGTTCCCTACTTTACAGCTAACCTAAGTGAGACTCCCAGAGGTGGGTCCGAGGACACGTAGACAGGCAGGAGCAGACCGAGATGTGAACCCAGGTGTGGTTAGCACTTCTTGTCCTGCCAGTTAAAGGACCCAGCACCCAGGGCCATGCCACAGGCCCTTCCAGCCAACCCAAGCCCTTTGCCACTCACGAGGGAGGCCCGTGGACAGGAGTGGCAATCATGGCTTTCAGCGAGGATGTGCCAGGCTGGCGAGGTGATGGGGCCCTGTGTGCTCAGTATTCTAGATGACTAAGAGTCAGCTTGTCCTAATTCTCAGAAGCCACTTTAAAGCCCAGCACCTGCTCTGCTGAGGGCTCTGATTACCTCGGCTCAGCTCAATCACACTAACCTGATTTCAGCCGCTCTGCAGAGGCATAATCACATTTGTGCAAGGGGCGGGGGGGAGGAGGACAGTGCAGGCGCCCCATCTCTGAGAGCCCACGGCATTCCTGCTCCCGAGCAGGCGTCCCTTTCCAGAGGTAGAGCCTCCTCTACTGCCTTCCTTGCCCATCAACTGGCCTGCTTTGCTCAGATATGTGCCTCTCAGGCACCACCCTCTGCCTTTGGCCTGACCTTAGCAAGTAGAGAAGGCAAACTATGACCAACGCGAGGAAGAAAGGGGAACTTTCACAAGCCCCAGTGGAGTTCATGGAGGGCAGAGATCCAGCTCTCTGGGTTCAAACCTACCAAATGTGCCCCTTGCTCTCAGCAGTGGGTCTTGAATTTTGAGGGGTCTGTAACCCCTTTGGGAATGTAGTGAAGGTTCCAGGTCTACATCTCAGACTTGTGCATAGAGTGATTGTGCATGCGCAGAATTAGAACCACTAGATATACAGTTTCAACGGAACAACAGGACAATAAGTCAAAGCTGAAGCTACAGCCCCTCTCGGTCTGGACCAGCCTGTCTCTTTGGCTTCACTGTCCCGTGGCTGCCTGTTTAAACTAACAAACTGGCTGCAGCTCCTTAACTATCCTATGATCTTGCACAGCTCTACCTTTGCAGTATTCTTTTCTTCAACAAGAAAGGCACGATGCCTATGAGCACTACCTGCATACCCTCTAGGGCACGGCTTATGCGCTCTCTTAGCAAAAGGCTTCCCTGATCTCCTCTATAGAGCTAAGTGCAGCCTCTACCCCTTCTCTACGTGCATGCTTTTCATCCAATGGTGCAAAGATTGGGGAACACGTCTGTCTTCCCACTGAGAACCATCCCATGTGGAAAGGGACCATGGCTTTTCAGAAATCCCCAGGGGCTGGCACAGGAGGTGATCTGAAGGAAACCTGTTTGATGAGTGTAGGAACATGTGTGTGGATGAACCAGGAAGCTTCCCTCTGCTCCAAAACACAGGACTGGCCCATGTCTGTGGCCTCTGTCAGCAGAACGTCACAGATGCCCCAAATACATTTTGCTCTAAAGAGCAAAATTCCAACAGTGGTACATTCATTGGGTGCCCCATCCTCCTCTAAAAGAATAAAAATTTGGTTTTGTTCCTCTGGACAAAACAGTGGTCTTCTCTTGAATGCTTTGTATCTCTCCTTCTCACTTGGCTCCTTCACTTAAGCATATAAATATCATAAATCTCTCATTTCA